AGCCGACCTCACCTGTGAGCACTAAAGATGTGCGTTTATGACAACAAATAGCATGACTCTGTACTCATGTAGGGAGTCTCATCCAGCTAGACAAAATGAAAAGCACCGCAAAAACCATCTTTAATGACAAATAAATAAACAAATTGAATTGAATTTATTATTTTGCACATTGAAACAAAAGATATGAATATAAACTGACATGCACATTAACAAATTCTTACATTTTAAGATATTTGTCAGAACGCTTTTTATCCAAAGTTGACTTACAAGTGAGGGTGTAACTACTACAGTCTATTTAAAAAGTGCAAAGACATCAAGTAAATAAGTGCAGTGTAAAGTGCGAAAGTCAGAGCTAGTTAGGTAATGTTAGAGGCTGTTAGGAGAGGAGCTGCTCTCTGAAGAGATGAGTCTTTCAAGAGACTGTTCATGATGCAGAGATCGCTCCTGCTCTGACAGTGTGTTGGTAGTTTGTTCCACCATCAGGGAACCTCAGAGCAGAACAGTCTGGACTGGACCGTCTTGTGTGCAGGATGGTGATGACAGGACGACGTTCCCACTGGAGGAACGCAGGTGGTTTGAGGAGGGGCATTAAGCTGATTGAGTTCAAAAGTGGATGGAGGCAGAGTCAGAAGTCTCTCGAAGGCAGCATTAGAGACGTGGAATCTGATTCAGGCGGCCATGGGTAGCCAGTGGATGTTGACGGCAGAGTGAGTGACTTGTTACACTTTCCCGGCTGATTCGAAGACCAGACGGACTGTTTATCTATTCGGGTTCACTGTGAATGAAGGAGGTGAGGGTGAGAGAGGAACGCATGGCCTGGGCACTAAGTGGGTGGAGTGCTGAGACTAGTTAAGATTCTCTCTGGTTTAAACATGTAAATAATATCTGGAGTCTTTCTGTAATTATTATTTTTCTATTGTAATTCATTTCAGTGTCCAACAGTCAACATCATAACGCTTCCTTTTTTTATCTGGCAGGTGTCCAATCATGCAAGATTTCATTCTGTTAAATGATGCTGGCCTTGCTTTTAAACTTTTCTCTGTGCCTACAGCACGCCACCTGTCTAACATCCTACATCAGTCACACTTGTGATTCCTCCACTATCATCTGCTGCAACGTCGTCCATCTTCTGCAGCAGCACAGGCGCGCCAGCAACCTGTCAACGGGCCCTTCCGCGCATGAGAACAACCAGAATCAAATCCGGAAGAGCACTGAACTAATAGGGGCAGAACAACCCCTGGGAAATCAAAGGGGTTTGGAAACATTACAATCATATAATGAGTTGAAGGAAGGATCAGCAGAGTGTAATTAACCAGCAACAGAACAAAGCTCGCATGGTTCTTCGTTTTTCCCTCAGCGGGCACAGACTGTGAGTGGCAGCAGGACAGCGCTCTGAAGGGTCAAGCCAGACAGGACGATGAACAGGGGGAAAGGTACGAAGGTGAGGTAGGGGAGGAAATAAAAAAACGCACCAAAGTATAGGCAAAAAAATAATGATAAAACAAGAGACCCAGATCAAGAAACACAAACACAGAAATCCACAGCTCGCTGATGCAGTTCTGTTTGGGAGGGGGAGGCGATGACCATGTACCTGCAAGAAAAGATGAGACAGATATTCTGGATTATCACAGAAGTATTATATTTCAGGATGATTCACAAATGATACTGGAAAATCAGACAGCTACCTTTCCAGCGCGACACACACCCTGAAGCAGAGACTGGTCGTCATACCGCAGAAGAAACCAAATGTAGAGATTATTGGATTATCGGGATTTTGCTATTTCCAGGAAAAGAGAGGATCCAGATCACAAGAGACAGATTTGAATCAGATTGGAGATGAGGAGGTTTGCGACATAGGTGATGGGGAGTCGATCCTTTCGAGGCTGCAGGAAACATTCATGAAAAGAATAAGTTTCTAACACATCTAACTTTACTCTCTTTGTTTTCTGTGTAATTATTTTTTATTACTGTCCCATCTCAGGAAGCACTTGATGCTTGTAATGTCTTTGTATTTTCAGGACTCGAGCTGCATTTCTTGAATAAAAGGTGCCGTTCAAGACTAATGAAATTCATTATTACATAAGAATATTACATTAACAGAGCAAGTAAACATGCGACATTGTCCGAAAGTCATTTGGCTGAAAACAATAAAAATCTTTACATCAAATGTTGTGGAGATACAATAAGCAGCATATTATATTAGTTTAAAGGACACTGACTGGACTTGATCACCTCCAGCTTCAATATTTAACAGAACAACATAACAGTGTATCGGTCTTCACATCTACATTCTCAGAAACTGTCAAACTATTCCTTTAATACTTTTACAAAAAAAAGCTCAGATGTATCTGAAAGGTCTAAAATTAGAATTACTGATTTGTGCGCGGGCATCAATTAATGACTTCGTGTTTTAATCTTCAACTCAGTCACAGACAGACAGACACAATAAATATGAGTATTATTTTCACGTACCAGGCAGAACAGCCAACAGAGGACCAGTAGAGTAAAGTGAAGGCCAGCGCCCACGTCTATCAGAACAGCACCTGAGTGGCAACATCGTGGCTGTCGAGCTGCATCTTATCGCTGGTTTTCTGTGTGGGAGGGAAAAGCTGTGAGAAAAATCCTGTTAATGAAGGAAAACCGAAAGGCCATACTAACATACTTATTTCATCCCGTTATGTGAAGATAACAGAGCTCTTAATCCTCGAGATAACGAGAACTACCTGGAGAAAAACTTCGGTAAAGTTGTAAAATAAATTCTGGGATATGAACTTCCCGGCTCAATAAGTAATAACGGTGAACGATTGGTGTAATAACAGTGTAGTAACAGAGACGACGCCTCTTTCTCCCGTGTTAACGCAGACAACGAGCTACAACCCTATTCAAGATCAAGTGGATATTGTATCCTGCGCTTTTATTATAACATTACTGACATTAAATGAGAGGAAATATATAAAGACATTACTTTTAATACTTTTAATGCTCCGTCAGTGAATTACTATGAAACTTAATAAATCTTAAACACTGATGATTCTCAGGCAAGTTCAGCAGCGTAATTATTTCATCTTTTCCTCCTAATTACTTGAATCTCATAATCAACACACATTATTTTAGACGCATTTCCAGCTGTTTTTAATACAGTTACGTTTTAATTTCTACTTGTTCTTGTTGTTTTTTCAAGCTTCTCCAAACTGAAAGCTGTAAACACTGAGTTTTACACATTCAAGACATTTAAAACATTAGTATTAAAAAATTAAAAAATAAAATAACATAAAAACCTCTACGAACCTGAGCGTCTGTCTCCGTAACTGAAACTACACAACTCTGTGAATCCCGGAGTTGTGTACACACCAGGCTCACACCCCGCCCTCCTGCTGCTGCTTTCTTCTTCTGCTGCTTCTAACGCGTTTTACTTGGCATCCAAAGTGTCTCATTACTACCACTACAGTTGACTCCCCCTCACTATTATAGATACAGGCTATATAATTCATTTTAAGTGCGTTTTTTCCAGCTTCAATGAGTTCATGAGTTCACATCTACTTCCTCCCCTCTCAGCCTAAGTCTATCTATCTATCTATCTATCTATCTATCTATCTATCGCACACACTGCTATTTATTGAAGTTCCACATGCTTTTATTTTTGTTCATTTACTTTACATTCACTGAATAATAACAAATATCACAATTATGATTCAAACTGCAGAGCAGCAAATACAGTGCCGACACAATTCAATCCAGCCCCTTCTTTATGTGTTCTGGGGTCCAGCATCCACAAAAATGACACACAGCTCATGCTAGCAAACACGAAAAAGCAAAACCACTAAAATGAAAAATAATAAACAAATTGAATGTAATTAATTATTTGTTATTTGCACATTGAAAACAAAACAATATGAATATGAACTGACATGCACATTACAAATACTTTGTCAGATGCTTTTATCCAAAGCGACTTACAAGTGAGGGACGTCACTAAAGCCTCAGTGCAGTAGGAAACCTTGGCGTAAGTACTGAGTACTACATCTATTCAATAAGTGCAAGGACATCAAGTAAAGAAGTGCAGTGAAAGTCAGAACTAGTTAGGAATGTTAGAGCTGTTAGGAGTGGAGCTGCTCTCTGAAGAGATGAGTCTTCCAGAGACGGTTGATGATGCAGAGGATCGCTCCTGCGGTGACAGTGTTTGGTGATTTGTTCCACCATCAGGGAACCTCAGACTAGAACAGTCTGCAACGTCGTCCATCCTGCAGCAGAACAGGCGCGACAGCAACTTGTTGACGGGCCCTTCCCGCATGAGAACAACCAGAATCAAATCCAGATAAACACTGAGTTGAATCAGGGGCAGAGAGAACTTTGGAATATGAGAGTGATCCTTCAATATTAAAATAATCATAATGATTGAAGGAAGGATCAGCAGAGTGTAATTAACCAGCAACAGAACCAAAGCTCCAACAGTTCTTCGTTTTTCCTCAGCGGGCACAGAGGTGGCAGCAGGCAGCGCTCTGAGGGTCAAAGCCAGACAGACGATGAACAGGGGGAAAGGTAGGAGGGTGAGGTAGGGGAGGATCAAATATTGTGAGGAGGACATGGCAAGAAAAATTATGAAAAATACAAGGATCCAGATCGCGACACAGACAAACACAGAAGTCCCAGCTCGTCTGATGCAGTTCTGTTTTGGAAAGGCGATGACCATGTACCTGCAAGAAAAGATGAGACAGATATTCTGGATTATCACAGAACAGTATTATATATTCAGGATGATTCACAATATGATACTGGAAATACAGACAGCTACCTTTCCAGCGCGACACACATCCTGAAGCAGAGACTGGTCAGGACACCATAGCACAAAATTAATAGAGAGACCATCAGTGAAACAAAAAACCCAGCCATTCCAGTGAGGTGTATCTTCCAGAGGATGGTGGAGCAGATTTGAATCAGATTGGAGATGAGGAGGTTTGCGACATAGGTGATGGGGAGTCGATCCTTTCGAGGCTGCAGGAAACATTCATGAAAAAGATAAGTTTCTAACACATTCTAACTTTAACTCCTTCCATGTAATTATTTTATTATTGTCCTGTCTCAGGAAGCACTTGGTGCTTGTAACGTCTTTGTATTTTCAGCACAGCAAAGGACACTGATTAAGGCATTTCCCTTAATTTGAATTATTGTAATCATTCACACAGAGACAGACACATAAATGTAAGTCATTGTTTACATACCTGGCAACACAGAGAACAGATGGCCAGTAAAGTCAAAGAAATGCCAGCGCCGAGGTTTATCCAGAACAACACCCCATAGAAATTAGTGGGGTATTCAAACGCCATCTTACGGCTGGTTTCCTGTGAAACAAGTTCCCATAAATAAAGTACACACACCATGTAAGACATCACACACAGAGGAACAGACACTGTTTTTGGAGCCTCCTGTTCAAACTGGGCTTTAATGTGGAATTATGGATGAGCAAGATGAAGAGGAGGCAAAAACTCGGTGTGAAAATGTCCAAACAATATTTCAAAGTTAAGAGCTCCGACTCTGCTGCATAAATTATCTTGTGAGATCCAGTGGATATTGTACCCTGTGCTTTAAATTATAACAATTTTGGCATCAGATGACAGGAAAAAAATAAAATAAAGACACAATACTTAATAATCTAAAGACAATTCAAATGGATTCAGCTCAGACCTACAACATGGAAACAACCTGAAGCTGCTGGGTGGATGAACAGTGCAGTACATTAGCATTAGCTCTCCTTCCTGCTTTGCACCATTGGCTGCACAGACAACTGTCAGTTACTATGTTACTATATTAATGTAATAAATATTATGAACCAGCGGTTTTTAGATCTTTAATCACATTTAAAAACATAAGAATAAAAAAAAAAAACTCTACTAACCTGGATGTATGTTCTTGTGGCTCAAACAGCCCTGTCTCTTACTCCTGTTGTTGCTCTAAACAGCTGGACACACCAGCCTCACAAACTTGATGACATCACCCTCACTGTCTCACCCTCACCATCAGTTCGCTTAATGGTGCTGAAGGAGCTTCCGATTCGGCAGTTAGTGGATGGATGGATGGGTAGATATAAACTTTATAGGGCTGTACAGTGCGACGATTTTCGTCGCATTTGCTACTAAAAATCATTCTGTGCGACGAGAAATATGTATCCAGTAGCACAAGCGCGATGGAGTTGTGCTGGTATCATGTCTCATCCTTTCTTCATCGGACCGGGCTGTCTCCTCTGATACAAAACCCCACAGTGGTTGAAAGACTTCACCTGGTTTATTTATGATCAGAAAATGAAAAAAGCTATGTTTTGCAAGTATTGTATGGCGGCAGGCGAACGGATGGCAGGGAATACACCATACATTACAGGGAGTACCGTATTTAAGCGTGACAACGTAAGTTAAAGGAACTATCTAGCTTTATAATATAAAGCTAGATAGTGGCGGTTCTACGGGGGTCCAACAGGCGCCAGTGCCCCTGTAACTCTGAGCCTGCCCATAATTGATTATCTGCGACGATATGGCGCTGACGCGAAAGCTGGAACTAATGTGGCTCACAACATTATAGTTGGACCGCTGAGAGTGGTACACCCACCCACAGATGGACCGCACATAAAAACATGTTGAAGATACACACAAAAACACTCGCAGAGATTATACATGCAAACAAGGCAATGCAAATGTCACAAACATAAAAACCGAGGAACTAGGTGGGGGTATATAATTACCACTTACCAGGAAAACACTAGAAAGGAACAAGAGCTGAGGCTAAAATAAGAACAAAAAGGAACGAAGGAGCAAACAGCTGGCGACATTTAGCGGCAAAGCTAGTAACTGCAAAAGAGTTTACAATCAATTCCCTCCATCCTTGTACTTTTGACCTACGAAGGGGGAGAAATATATATCACAACAACAAGAAGTGAGATATATCCTTACACATTTTCCTTGCTTTGCCACAGTGCACTAATCTAAGAGATGAAAAACCTACATTTTAAATCATTAATGAACCATTCAAAGGGACACACTTTGTCTTGTCTCCTCACATCTCTGGCGCCACAGAAAGTATAAGCTGCTAAACACATGAAGCGAAGTTAAACGTGTGTGCGACCCGCAAGACGTTAACGAAAGGCTTCAGGTAAGAAAAGGTGTTTATTTTTTTGCAACTGATGATGTGACTGGACATGTTGGTGTGAACTCCAGCAGCCACCAACAGCTGAGTGACGTGACAGCTGACAGTGCCATACAGCTGTTGTTTTCCACTGCACAAATTGATTAATGAAGCAACAGTATTTAGTTAATATTGTGAGTTAGTGTTCGCATACCTCTTCATTTTTTTCTATAGTAAACATGAGGAGATCTGGACTGTTTGATCCCAAAGAAAACCAACTTTGTTCATAGTGTGATTTATCCAATCGCAATCCATCATATTTTATAATCTGTTCATGATATAGTTTTATTGAGGTGCATGTTGTTAGTGTTAAGTTAGTGTTTTTCAACACGTTGATTCCACCATCGGTTCTGAGGCGGCTCCGTTCTCACACAGAGGTTGTAAGTTGTTTTCATTGCTGCTGGCGCCACCTGTTGGTACCTGAGTCTGTGGTCGGGCAATGACTTTAAACGCATCCCACTGCTCGGGTATCAGTCCTTTGTTGAAGAGCAGAGAAGCCAGGTAGGAGACCAGCAAAATGGTGGCAAACGCCGCCAGCATACAGATGGTCCTGATGGGGGAATACTGAACGTAAACACCGTCTTCAAGGGTGCATCCTGGGAAGTGGATGACAGGCGGTAGCCCTAGCAACGGCTCGCCGCACAGAAGTCTTAAGAGAAACCCGGCCAGGAATCCCACAGTGGCACCGTAACCATTGGAGACGTTGAAGAAGAGCACACAGACCAGCTGCGGGAACATCATAATGTAGGCGATTTCTCCACCCAGGACCCAGAACGCCATAACACCGGTGTGCAGGAAGGTGAGCGACGTACCCGCCAGGCCGAACGCAACCACAGCGATTCGGATCACCCACCGGATCTCGTTCTCTGACGCCTGCAAACCGAACGAACCGTCACAATGAAAGCAGCAGCAAAGAAATCTGTAATTCCCTCCCTTGCTTGTGTTATTGTCTTGTTGCACCCTCACCTGGGTCCTCAGGTTCTTCTTGTAGATATTCGAGGAGAAGATGGAGGCCGCAGACAGCAGGGCAGAGTCAGTTGATGACATCACGGCGGCGGCCACAGCTCCGATGCCGACGATGGAGATGTAGGGTGGGGTCAGGTGTTGCAGGGAGAGGGGTAAAATCAGACCTGTCTGACCTCGTTCAAACGGAGGCGGAGATCCGTACGAGGTCACGTTCCAGTCTGAGAAAAAGAAAAGGACGGGATTTATGTCAATGAAATGTCAGATGTATCATCTCTAAATAAAAAATAGAATCACCTCCTCCTGGTCGTATCCCTCCGCCACTCAGACTAGTTCCAGGTTTCATCCCTGTTTATCCACAGTCATATAAAATATTAACTACATAACTGCTGTGTGAAGTCTTGAGTAATGGCTAAAAAGTGTTTTGTGAGGTCACCACAACCTTCACCTTTGACCTTTAGCCACTAAAATCTAATCAGTTCATCCTTGAGTCCAAGTGAATGTTTGTGCCGAATTCGAAGAAGTTCCCTCAAGGTGTTACTGAGATATCGTGTCCACGAGAATGCGACGGACACACAACCTAAAAAAAACAATATGGCCGCCGAGGAATAAAAAAAACAAATCAAAACAAATGACTTCACTGACTTCACTACAGCGACCTACTGTACAGTAAACCAAATATAGGTCCACTAGTTCTTTCAGTAACACTTACTTTCCTTTAATCACTAACTGATGCAATAAAAATTAAGTTTAAATTTCAAATTAAAAGCATTTCACCTGTTTACCTGTCGATGCCGCCGCTGCCCCGATGAGCACGGGAGGAATTCCGAACGTGGGGATGAGAACTGCGGCAGCGTAACATCGCAGCTTGGCCGTGGCTGAGGAGGAGGCCGACAGCGTCCTCTGGTGGAAGTCCTGAAAGCCGAGGTCTCCTATACTCTGGGAGAGGCAGGAAACAGAGATGTGTGAGGGTTTCGATGATCCTGTACGCAGTATAGAAAAACCTCCGTTACCTTATATTCAAACGGAGAGTGACTCTTTCCTCCAGTTATTCATCCATAACAAATTTTATGTTAAAGTTTTCAAATCTGAAAAGTTACTCCATTAATGACCAACTGGGTCATTTATATAATTAAAAAATAAGGTTTGTTAAAAAGACATACACTCTAGAAACAGACACAAACTCAAACCAAGATTATTAAACCACAATAAATGTCTAAAGATTCACTTTAACCACTGAACAATGGCCAGGGCCGGCGGCCATATTGTTTTCAGGTTGTCCGTCCGTCCGTCCCATTCTCATGGACACGATAACTCAGAAACACCTCGATGAATTTTTTGAAATTTGGCACAAATATTGATTAGGACTCAAGGATGAACTGAGTAGATATTCGGGATCAAAGGTCAAAGGTCAGGGCCACGGTGACCTCACAAATCGTGGTCTTGGCCTTGTGAACGCAATATCTCTGTAAGCCTAGAGGGAATTTCTTTAAATTTGATAAGCACATTCACCAGGACCCAAGGATGAACTGCTTAGAATTTGGTGGCCAAAGGTCAAAGGTCACGGATCTCACAAAACATGATTATGGCCTTGTGAACGCAATATCTCGTCAAGGGAATCCCTCCAAATTAGGCACAAACCTTCACTTGGACTCAAGGACGAACTGATTAGACTTTGGTGGCCAAAGGTCAAAGGTCAAAGCCATAGCTCAAGACTTCACACAGAAATGATGACAAAATTTCACACTAATGGTTAATCTTTTAAATGACTCTGGATGTAACCTGAAACTAGTCTGAGTAGCGGAGGCAGACAACCACGAGGAGGTGAATTTAGTTTTATTTTGTAATACTGGCAGAATATTATAATTTTAAATTCCAGTAATCGGACATAAATAATAATTCAGACATAAAATTCCTGTATTGATCGAGACCAGAGTTTGAGGTTGGTAAGACGGAACCAGAGGCGAAGTGAAACTCTTCCTCTCATCTAATCAATGTAGTTACTGAGTCTTTTGAAGAGAAGAATAAAACTGAACGTCACGATTTTCCCCTAAAACATCAGATTAACATTGTCACTGGCTGCACATCTCAGTTGAAATCAAACATTTTTTGAGCATGTGCATCAGTCTTGATTTAATCTTGAAGCTTTTTGTGACTTTACCAGGAGTAAAAAGATGTCGATCCACCTCCAGGCTCTGTCTGCGGTCAGAGAGCCGACCCACGGAGCCTGGAAGGTGTGGTTGAAGGACGTGGTGGTGATGTCGACGGACGCCGGGTTCATGAGGACGAAAGGGACGCACAGCCACTGAGGAGAGAGAGGGATATTTAACACACACACACACACACACACACACACATAGAAGGTTAATGTGTTTCTATTGCCCACCTCTACTGTCCCATAGAGCTGGGAAATAGAAACAATAGAAATGATTTTACTCACATAGAGTCAGCTGTGGCTCCAGAAGCAGATTTCTAAAGTCTGAGAAATAACCCCCTGATGATGTCATAGTGATGTCATCAGGGGGGTTACCTCTGCCTGGATAAATAACTACACAATATATATCCAACAAATCTATATTTCTCCAAATGTTTAGGCATTGAAAACAAATGTATGTTTTAAATAATGATAATATCGAATGTAAATGTAAATTTCACATTGAACCTCTGGAGTCCGTCTGTGGCCACTGTTTTATTTACAGTTATGTAACTGTATATGTCATGTAGAGACACACTGAGGAAATCCGTTCAAAGTGCTGATGTGGGACTTTTACACATGATCACACAGAGTCTGAATTGTTGATATTTTCCATGATTCACAATTAATTTATCATTTCAGTGAAACAGGAACAAAAATAAATGTAAATAAACTGTATTTTAGTTTCATTTCTTACATATTTCTTCTATATTAGTGTGTAAAATAGTAAAACAATAGTTTTTACAACTTTAAGCTTTTCTATAATGATATTTTAATTGATTATGACTAAAGATATGAACATTTTCACAGGTACCGGTGCTATATTTTATGTATCTTGGGTTCCTAGCGGTTTTTGGAGTTTGTGCTGAAAAAAGGAAACAAAAGGTGCAACACAAAGACAGAATTTAATAATAATAATAAAAATGGACTCCAGAGGGATAATCCAAACTAACTCACCGAGGTGATAAAAATGAGAGAGAGCTGTATGATGTCTGTGTAGGCCACAGAGTAGAGGCCTCCCAGCAGAGTGTAGGTGATGGCCACAGCAGCAGAGATCCAGATACACACAGCGTAGGACAAGTCCAGGATCACACTCATGGTTACACCTGTGGCACATACACATGCAGTTACCGTGCGCAGCCGAAAACACACCAACACATACACATGCATGTGGATTCCCATTCAGGGAACACGGAATATTATACAACAGTTAGCTCCGACCAAGTGATCTGATTGGACGAGAGTCATCCCATGAATGCTGATATAGAGTTACAACAGCACTGGGACTTTTAACTTCATGTCCACTTCACAGGTGTTCAATTAACCGTTAATCAAGTTTGAAAAGCCTTGCCAAATAAATGATGAAATAAACAAACAAACCATCATCTGTTGTTGCTTATTTAACTAATATGGCGTCATAGAACTGTTGTATAAAAACAATAGCACACAAGAGGGAGTGGTAAATACGTCATTGATCAGGATTGAATTTGAATTTGTGATTGATGCGTTTATGCATCGATCTAAAAGACATAATTGGGTAAAGTTACTAGTGGTTCAAAAATAATGACAGTAAGACAATTTAACATTTTCCAGAAACACGTGGGAATCTGGAATAAGACCAACAAACACAGCAATCCTGCATTTCACAGGCAAACACGGCCAACAAGTTAAAAGAAATAATAAATAAAAAATAAATACACAATGACACATAAGCACATTCACACAACAGCATGCACACAGACACGTGTTCAGACAGCTCGAGACGCAGTTTGTTAAATTCTCACCCAGACTTATGAGAGTTGAAGTCACCCAAATGATTTCTGACATCAGCGGGGCGACGGACAGGAGTCCACTCAGTCCGTTTCCGTACTTGATCTGGAAAGGATCCATCATGGTCACATACTTCCTGTCTCTCATCGGCTCGGCGAAGAAGAGCCCGCCTGGGGAGGGAAAAAGGTCAGAACGGGTCAAATGTGACACCGTGGTTTTCACAGCTGGACTTCACTTAGACCCTGAACACTTCCTCCTCCAACCACCGCTGAGGTGTCAAGAGTCTTACCGGCAGTGAAGGCCACCGTTGCAGCTACCGGCATCACGGCCCAAATCAGGCCCAGGTTTGGGTTGTACACGGTCTCCGCTGTGCCGATGATGAAGGTCCCGCCAACCCAGGTAGCTGCACGGTGCACATTTTTGAAAAACTTGTTAGAAAAGTTGTCAAAGTCACAAAAACAGGAGAAAAAGGAAGTCGGGTTGTTCTTGTGTTGTGGTTTCAGGGTGTGATCACAGCCACAGTTTGTTCCTTCCGTCACAAGTTGCTGTTCAATGGCCAAATTCATGTTATGTTCATGCTGCATTGATCCTGATTTTATAACCATAACGTCTCCTGACAAAACAGCAAAAGCAGCTAAGGTTTGTTCAAAAAGTGAGAGATTTATCGCTGGATGCTTCAAAAAAAAAAATTGTTAAATGTGTCTGAAAGTACACCTAGCCACTGGCGGGTTTTAATGGTGCAGACCCAATACTTTCGCAAGAAGTTGCAAGTTTCAACTTGTTAATCTTTGGTGTAATTCATTTAAACTGTCAAAAGTATTGCTTCCAGCTTCCCCGTCCTTCCCTGCAGTTACTGTATATCAAGGCGTGTTTGTGTTTGTAAAGAGATTATTTAGGAAATTTAAAAGCTGTCTTAAAGATTTTTTGTTGATTATATTGTTTACAATATGGTCGGCATCAATGAATGAATGAATGAATGAATGAATGAATGAATGTTTCATGTCTAGTCATCCACACGGTCGATCGCTCGATTATTCAGTCACAAAAATCAGCTCCAGACATCAGCATGATACATCGACCTCATACAAATAATTTAAAAATAACTACTTTATCAAACCCATCCTGTGTTCCTCATTTAAAATGCCTCCGAACCTGCAGGTAGCAGCTGCTGCGGTGCAGCACAGACACACACTCACCGGTCGTAGTGAAGATGCCCACTACCAGGCTGATTTTTCTGTTCCCCAGCAGGGCCATGTCTGCATGGTCTGCCTGCGTCCTGTTTTCATCCCTTTTGGATTTGATGGAAGCCCAGATACCGATCCCCAGCACCAGCAGGTAGAATATGATGGTGGCTATCAGTCCCGGGACGTTGAGAGCCATGCTGACCGTCCAGGAGCAGCGCAGAGCACACAGTGCAGACAACAGCCAGGCAGCATGCAGCCCGTCTATGGAGCTCACTCAACCTGAAAAAACTGGCTGGCCAAGAGTCTTTGTGGTGAGCGGGGGCGGGTGTGGCTGCGAAAGAGCCCCGGGCGGAAGAATTATTGTCAAGCTGAGCCCCCACTTCATGTCGTTTCTCAGGAGTCTGGACAAACAAAGGAGAACATGACCAGGCAAACCTCGTGTGGCTGGACTGTGTGTGTGAGAGAGTGTGTGTGTGTGTGTGTGTCTGTGTGTGTTTTCATTTTTCTTTTATTTCAATAACTAATAAATAAATGAGGTATAAATAAACTGTTTTCCACATTGAATGGATTAAATGTTGAAAATACAGATGTTAATAATATCAACCAACAATATTTATACTTACGTATAAAGTGAAATTTAATATCTAGCAAATTAAGAAATGAGTGAAGGTCTGAGGGCATTTTCTCGATTTCTACATTATTTCTTAAACTCACCTTTAAAGGTTCTCGCACATAACTCTATACCCAAGTATTTTTGTCACAATTTTCAGAACGATCTCAGCTCTTTCTATAGTGAGGCCCGTTTTTGTCAGAGCAAAGAGATAATTTGCCCCAAATGTTGAAAAATTGAAGCCTGTTTTTTTAATTCTTAAAATATTTTGTGAAAACATGCCTTTATGAATTATTTTGGTGTTTGAAATGTGTTCACCAAAGTCTGTAGGTTCATAAAAACAGTGCAATATATTGGTGAAATAGTAGGTAAATGGATAATAAATGCCTAAAATGACATTTTGTAATATCACTGAGTCATAGTGTTGTATTTTAAGCAAATTTTAAAGGGCTATGAGTCACGTATGATTTTTCAAGAATATGTAAAGGAAAGTGGAGAGTCTACAGACTCTAACAACATTTAAACCATATTTCTAGGCTGTGTTATCGCAAAGGCATTTTAATAGAAACATCCATCGACCTCAGAGGGTTAAATACAATATCTCAACAATACTTTGCTTGTAGAATATGAAATATCAATGAAGAATTTACTTGTCTTTTCAATATTACCCTTAAAATAACATCTGTCTGGAAAAAAAGCAACGCTTTTATTTTTTTGTTTTGCCCTTTTTTTTAGGTTATTGTTGTTACTGCAGGCCTGTTTGGTGACACACTTTTAGCTGCATGTTTGACAGTTGTTTTCTTTGTTGGAGCAATGTTGTAACTGTAAGTAAAACAATTCCATGATACCACCTCCAGATGTGTCTGATCTGATGTCGGACGTGTGCATTTACTACTGTATCGACATGCATTCCCTAATCCAGATATCCAGATACAGTTTGCATGTTCCAGGCAGATATGAGTTATAAACATCAGTGACAGTTCAGTTTTGTTTTCAGTTTATCTGCCTAGTCCAGCTGAAGCTATACAAATCCTGCAAATCCTGTAAAGCGACATTTTTTTTTTAATGCTGTGTGGGATGAGCCTGCAGTTACAGTGGTAAACGTTAGTTCCTACAGTAAGGAAACACCTAAGATTGATCATCTGCTTTAGTGTTTTTGTAGAGTTCATTTAAACTGTTATGGTGGTAGATTTGTCTCAATATTATTTGTGTGAACAAATTGACAATCAGTGTGTAAATGTGTAATCTGTATCCACAAATACAAAAAATGTATATATAAACTCACAAAAATATCTTGCCAATATAAAACGGATCTGCAAATACACAAAATCCAAAAACTTCAGCTGCGAGTAAAGGAACGTTCAAAATTATATATATATATATATATATATATATATGATATATTAAATATATCATTCATATTTTGTATAAAACGTATTGGGTTATTTTCAATAGTTTGTTCCTCCAGCCGGTGACCAGCAGGGGGCAGGCTTGCACTGAATAACGAGACGTTGCTTCAGTTCTCGCGATACTTCCCCGCCTCGTTTGTGTGGTTCTTTCCATGTTTTTTTTTTTTCCTTGACGTGATCGTGACATTGGGTTCCGGCCGGTGGGAACAGAACCGGCACAAAACGGAGGTTTTTCTCAGTTCAAGGTGTCACGGATCTCACCTGGATTATTAATGACATCGAAGTCGAGAGTCCACAGCAGAGGCACGAGGTGAGTTTAATCAGCTGCGGCTCAGAAAAAACGGCTCCGGGGACGCCGCTAATGTCGGAGCTAGTTTAGTTAGCTAGTTAGTTAGCCGCTAACTCTGACCGCTACAGAACCAGAACCCCCCCCAGCTTTAGGAAGCCGTGCTGTTTCATTTGACTTCATAGAGTCAAGATGTCACCGTGTTTAGTTGTTGTTAAGTTTTAATAACGTCCCTGTCGACTGCTAAAGTCCATGGTGTAGCATCGCTGAGCTAACCGAGCTAAACACACGGCGTGACCTCCAGCTGGTGACAAAACATTTCATGATAAACTAGATTTTCGGTCATCAAAACGGTTTTAATCTTCCTGTTCCGGTACTTGTTCAGTTTTTGTCTCAGGTTTAACACGATACACACATTCTCGTTACGTGGGAGTCCGAAACCAAACTCCCTCTAATAAAATCTTCACATTTGCATACCCTGCTCACCGGGGAGGTTTTGCTTGGTGTAACAGCAGTTTTTAATTATTTTATTAATAACTTGGATCCACTCTGTATTTCGGCACTCTGTAACAAGATGTCACCTTTACTGTCTGATTCCTCATCTCTGTCGCCTTCCACCACAACTCACAGCTGATAGGTGACCCCGAGTCAGAGACCTCGTAAGGGACATGCACTTTGGCTGTAAAAGTTTAATAAATAAAGTTGTTCCTGGTGGATAATGTGTATGCCGAATTTACTGGGGGAACCTTTCAGACTTAGGGAAAGTGTGCAGTTGTTCTTCCAGCGGTGCACCCTGTCGGAAAAACCTGACAAAAATAAACGTGTATAGTTTTTGTATGGAGTTTGGCGAGCTGAACTGAGACAGCTGCATGTCACGTTCACTCTGGGTTAATGTGCAGCAGAGTTATCAGCTATATACACCGGGCTCTGTCATATCTTAGCTAATCGCTAACATATGTAATATGGGTGTTAATGTTAGGCTTGAATATACTTGAAGAGTTGACGTTGTTATCCACCCCCCTCACCCGCCCCCAGCGGGGCCCTCCCACCGGTGAGAGTACGTGCGGGCCGACAGGCAGTGATGGCGGACAGGCGGAGCAGGGTTTCCTCATTCCTCTGAACTCTGACCACGACAGAAGAAAACCAAACAAAGACCGGTTATATATCAGTGTCCGCCGCATAAACCTGATCCGACACAAGCGTCTGTTTTCACGGTCTGTGCGAGGTGATTTTTACCAGCAACATGAGGTACGGTACTGGAGGATTTACCGACTTTATTCGCCGGGTTAGCTGCCGGGTTAGCTTCCACATGGCTCTGTTGTTGGAGTTATTGATTGTGTAAGATGCAGATAGGATTGAAATGAACCTGCTGCAGTGATGTTATTGGGAAACTGCGGTGAGACAGAAAATAATGTGATTTTCGTCCTTCAAACTGAAGTTTAAAATTAAATAAAGCTTATAATTATCTGAGCTAATGTTTACTTAGGTTATAGTAGAAACACTGAACTTAAAATACTCTGATACAAGTAAAAATCCGGTGTTATCAGCAAACTGTGCTGTGACAGTGTACAGTATGTTATCATGTGTTATTATCATTACGGATGCAGTACTGTGTAAGTAATACTGTACTGATGAAGCTGGTGGAGGTGATTTTAACTGCTATATTTACTGTTAAGTAGTTTAATCTATGACACTACTTCATGTTTATGAAATAATTACAGTTTTGGTAACTTCAGCTGTCAGATAAAGTACAAGTGTATAAAGTAGCAGAAAATAGAAGTACTAAAAGTAAAGTGTACTTGGGTACAGCACTGGAGTAAATGTACTCGGCTACTTTGTCACTGTTAATACTCAGTTAAAAAACTGCTGTTAACTTTGCAGTAGTGTGTGTAGATCTGCAGGCGAGTTGTTGTGGTTTGGAGGTGATGCTATTTAGTCATTTTTTCAGTTGATGACGTCACTGTTGATTCTGGGAATTTGCTTTGGGTGTTTTTACCTTTGCATGAAGAATAGAGAAAATAATCTGAAGATTTATCAGAATCAAAACTCGTCGTTAGTCACAGGTTTAATCTGTAAAAGTATTCTAAGCGATTTTTATTTTTCCAGGCGTCTGTGTCGTTGTTCTTGTGTTTTGGCTTTAACGAGGCGTCTGCAGGTTTTCATGTCTTTAAAACATTGAGCTCTGTTTCTTCAAGGAATTAAAAATTCTTAAATAACTTTTACAAAGGGCTCGAACATTTCAAGCTCACATGAATTGATAAATGACATTACTAGGAATAATTATGATACACAGCTGGAAAGTACGGACATAGATGTGATGTTTTTGCAAATAAAATAATGTACTTGATAAATAATTTTAGATGTTATTGTCCCTGCTGAGTTTCTGTTATTCACGGTGTGACAGTGGAAAAAGTTCATTAAGTTCGTTCTCTGCTTGACAAGCCTTCAGTCTAATCTTCTCACTGTTGTAAACACAGCGTGGAGGTCAAAGGTCAGCCTGTTGTTTTCCCTCAGAGAAAGTGAAGCTTGGTTCTTATCAGCGGCTCGTTTAGCTGCCGACCGACTCTGTTCCCAGCTGATACTGAAACACCACCGCACCCTCAGCCCCCCTCCCCACTGACCAACCACCGCCAAGACACATTATTCAATATGTTTGATCAGTTTCATATCAGTGTAGTTTCCATAGCAACAGATCGACAAATGTATGTTAATGACAACAGCTGGATGATGATAAATAAGAAGGAAATAAGATATATAAAAGTACTTCAAAACATCTGAAAATAATTGCTCCATACTCCCTAGACAGTACAACCACAGTGGAGTACTAGACGTAGTAGTAGTCTAGAAGTACCTCACTGCTTCTGTCTGGAAGTACTTAACTGTGTTGGAAGTACCCCATGGTATCTTAAAGTACTTCACTCTGTCAGGAAGTACTCTACAGTATCTGGGAGTACTTCACTTGTCAGGAAGTACTCTACAGTCTCTGGAAGTACTTCACTTGTCTGGAAGTACTTCATGGTATCTGGAAGTACTTCACTGTGTGTGGAAGTACTCCACGGTATCTGGAAGTACTTCACTGTGTGTCGAAGTACTCCATGTTATCTGGAAGTACTTCACTGTGTGTGGAAGTACTCCATGGTATCAGAAAGTACTTCATTGTGTCCAGAAGTACTCCACGGTATCAGAAAGTACTTCACTTGTCTGGAAGTACTCCATCGTATCTGGAAGTACTTCACTGTGTGTGGAAGTACTCCACGGTATCTGGAAGTATTTCACTTCAGGAAGTACTCCACGGTATCTGGAAGTACTTCACTGTCTGTGGAAATACTCCAAGGTATCTGGAAGTACTTCACTTCAGGAAGTACTCCACGGTATCTGGAAGTACTTCACTGTCTGTGGAAATACTCCAAGGTATCTGGAAGTACTTCACTTCAGGAAGTACTCCACGGTATCTGGAAGTACTTCACTGTCTGTGGAAATACTCCAAGGTATCTGGAAGTACTTCACTTCAGGAAGTACTCCACGGTATCTGGAAGTACTTCACTGTCTGTGGAAATACTCCAAGGTATCTGGAAGTACTTCACTTCAGGAAGTTCTCCACGGCATCTGGAAGTACTTCACTGTCTGTGGAAGTACTTCAAGGTGTCTGGAAGTACTTCACTTCAGGAAGTACTCCATGGTATCTGGAAGTACTTCACTGTTTGTGGAAATACTCCAAGGTGTCTGGAAGTACTTCACTTCAGGAAGTACTCCATGGTATCTGGAAGTACTTCACTGTCTGTGGAAGTACTCCACGCTATCTGGAAGTACTTCACTTCAGGAAGTACTCCACGGTATCTGGAAGTACTTAACTTGTCAGGAAGTATTCCATGGTATCTGGAAGTACTTCACTTTTCTGGAAGTACTCCATGGTACCTGGAAGTACTTCACTGTCTGTGGAAGTACTCTATGGTATCTGGAAGTACTTCACTTGTCTGGAAGTACTCCATGGTATCTGGAAGTACTTCACTTGTCTGGAAGTACTCTACGGTATCTGGAAGTACTTCACATGTCTGGAAGTACTCCACAGAATCAGAAAGTACTTCACTTGTGTGGAAGTACTCCATGGTATCAGAAAGTACTTCACTGTGTTGGAAGTACTCCATGGTATCAGAAAGTACTTCACCGTGTTGGAAGTACTCCATGGTACCTGGAAGTACTTCACTTGTGTGGAAGTACTCCATGATATCAGAAAGTACTTCACTGTGTTGGAGGTACACAGTATCTGGAAGTCCTTCACTGTGTCTTTACAGACACTTGGAGTACTTCCTCATCATGTCTGAAAACACATCACTGTCTTTGAAGTACTTTGTCACCAAGTACTCCACCACACCTGGAGGTACTCCACCATGTCTCTCTGGAAGTACCCCACCGTGTTTGTAAGTACTTTCCAGTGTCTGTGTAGTACTCCAGTGTGTTTCTATTGTGCTTCATCATGTCTGACAGTACATTGTGCAGTACTGAACCAGTGTCTCTGGACGTTGTCAGATGTTTCTGTATTAGTGAGGACCGTTGACCAACCGTGTCTGAAAATAGTTTAGTGGTTTAACTGGTTTAATCCCAGTGGATCCTGGTGACCACCCCGTCCTCCGACCAGTCACAGAGCACAAAGCAGCTGTGTTTACAAACATCATGAGTGTCAGCTGAGACTGATCTGTGGTCAGCTGGATCAGTCGCAGTGTGAGGACAGAAAAACCTGAACACAACAGGCGCCGAAGTTTCAGTCCCGCAGGATTCAGCCTGTGATCACGTGACCTCACAGTGACATCATCAGTTTTCAATCGCCCTAAAAACATCATGCGACGTCTGTTCTCAGGTCGTCAGTCCTGTTCTCCTGAACGCATTTCCTCGTGAATGCCTTAGGGGGAATTCCTTCAAATTTGGTACAAACATTCACCTTGAGTCAAGGGTGAACTGATTAAAATTTGGAGGTCAAAGATGAAGGTCGCTGTGACCTCACTAAACATGTTTTTTGGCCATAACTTAAGAATTAATTTGATAATTATGACACAATTTATGTTCAACAGGATAAAACAATGAAGTGACATTTTATATTCAAAAGGTCAAATGTCAACATCGCTGTGACATCACAATGTTCTCCAAAAACACTTTCCGGCCATCATTCGACACTGTAGCTCAGGGTGGAGATATTGTGACCATGTTTCCTGCCATTTAACTGGGTAGTAGAGGCATAATAAAAAAATAAATAGACTCTTAATGCAGAAAGTAACGTGAGAGCCAGTGACGGGACACAAATCAGGTGATGCTGTAAATAATGTTTATGTTGACGAAAAGAAAGTGAAGAGCAGAAGTGAAGGAGGAGGATAGAGTGCAGTGTTAGCCAAGAAAACAGAAGAGAAAGTAGAAACTTTCTCCTCGTGTTTCCCCCTTTTGTTTCACCATCAGTGTTGAAAACAGAAATTACAACATGAAGCATTCAGGCGAGAGAACTGAGACTGAGAGGAAGCTTTTAACTCTAAACTCCGGAGGGGATTTGGACACAGAGGTTGTTTTGTGTTGAGCTGAAGTTTTGGTAAAATCCCCTCAAACACCATATTTATTTACAGAAGCACTGAGTTTCTGCTTCATGCTGCTGTTCAGCTGTTTCACTGATCCGATCACAGGATCAATTTTACTAAATTAAAACAAACTTGCACTAAAACAGTAATTGGTAAATTTAGCAGAAAAATGTCACATGACCTTCAGGAGGAATCTGGTCTGTGAGTCTCCTGTAGGTCTGTGTCTCAGTTTGAGTCCAGATCCAGTTTGACCTCTTTTATTTTGACACTGTGTCCTCTCTGTTTCCTGTTTCCTGTCCAGGATGCCGTCGGTGGAGGCGGCAGCAGCAGCGAGCGGGCTGAAGCAGTGCCGGCAGGCCCAGGGTCAGCTGGAGGATGCCATCAATGGTGTGACGAAGGCCGAGCAGCAGCTGAGAGAAAACGCCCGAGAGGTGAGCACTTTAATCATCCTCATCATCCTCATCAATGTCTCACTGTCTGTAATCAAATGTGTAAACCTGCTGATCAGAGTTGGATGAAGCGTGCGGAGATGCTGTGTTTTAAACTCCAGCTGCTGCTGTCGTCACATGTCATTTTACTTGTTGGAGAAGAAAATGAAAATGGAAAAACCTGCAGTAAAAAGAGAAATTAATGAGAGTGAGCGGCCAATAGGAAACTGTCTCTGCCTCTGTACCTTCCTGTGCTGCTGAATCAGCTGCTGATAAGAGCCTGTAAACACAGGTGATGGTCTCAGGTTCAGGAGCTGAACCAGCTGACTCTCTGTTCACGTCACGTGTCGGTAAATCTGAACTGACTCTCATCAAGTTCAACTTTCATCATTTATCAGCGAATAAAGTTTTAAATAAAGCTTCAGTTCAGGTCTGTGATCAGCTGACATCCTCCAGCTTTCATGACTCACCATTACCGTTAATGAAGCTAATTAATGCTGACAACCTGTAGCTAATCTGCTAGCTCATTGAAACCGGGCCGCAGCGTTAGAACTGGGTGACGTCAATATCTGAAGCTTCTGCTGGTTCTGGTTCAGTCTGATCCTCCATCAGTCAGACATTCATCAGCCTCCCCTCATCACTGCTGACTCACGCTGTGTGTGTGTGTGTGTGTGTGTGTGTGTGTGTGTGTGTGTGTGTGTGTGTGTTTGTGTGTGTGGTCACAGAAACACCTACATAAGCCCTCACATTGTTCTGTCCTCCACCTGCGGTTGCCATGGTAATCCAGGCTCCATTACCCATTGACAGGTCGGATCATGGTGTGTGTGTGTGTGTGTAAAGAAACGTGACCGGAGGTGGAGCTGGTAGAGTCAGCACATAAAAGACTGTGTAGAGAGAGAGACAGCAGGGTGTGGTGGAGTCAGTATATAAAAGAGTGGAGGAGAGAGACCAGCTCATATCACTGATGGACTGAGAACTGCTTCAGTTACTGGACTCTGGACTCTGCTTTGAACTGGTTCGGTGCGGTGTTGTGGACTCTGCTGTGATCTGGTTCAGGGCGGTGTTGTGGACTCTGCTGTGATCTGGTTCAGGGCGGTGTTGTGGACTCTGCTGTGATCTGGTTCAGGGCGGTGTTGTGGACTCTGCTGTGATCTGGTTCAGTGCGGTGTTGTTGAGCTCACAGGTAAATGAAACCTCACACTGTCATTTTTAAAAACAAAGACCTTGTTGTCTGTGATGTCGCGGTGTGAGCTGATTGGTCAGCACTGTGTCATGTGGCTGCAGCTGCAGCTAACACTTGTTTTCTTCACTGATTAATCTGCTGAGTGCGTGATAGAAGAACACAGAGGTTAGCAGTTAAGAGACTTTGGTCAGCAACTGAAGAGCTACGATCAGCAGTGAAGTTCCTCTAATGATCCCGTGTCTGTTTTTGTTCCTGTTTTTGTTCTTTATTATTTTCTCAAGTCATTGTTTTCTTATAGAACTTTTCTAGGAATTCCTCAGCTCAGCCTTATTATTACCTGTCTCACCTGTGTCTCTCACCTGTGTGTCTCAGGTGCGTTCGGAGCTGCAGAGCTGTGTGAGTCGTCAGCAGGAGGCGTTGCGCTGCAGAGAGGTTTGGCTGCTGGGTCAGATCGAGCTGCTGGAACAACTCAAGGCTGAAACTCTGCAGCAGCAGCTGCACCAACTGCACTGGGTAATTGAACAATCATAATCATTACAATAATATTAATTATCACACATTTTATTTGAATGTCTTCAAGATATCCAAAGAAACTTAACACGACAAGTTTAGGCAAAGATCCCAGAGAAAACTGGCTTTAGCTCATCAGAACAAGAGCCAGCACAAGAACGTGAAACATTTAGAACATGTGGTAACAGGAGCACAAAGAGTGGAGCAAGAACATGGTCTAAATAAAACACTGTAAAACTGGAGAAATCATGACTGAAATACGTCTTTGATCCTCAGTGATACGGACACATTTCAGTCTGTCAGAAGAAGTCCTGAGTTCTGGTTCCTGTTCATGTCTCTGGTCCTGACTCTCTGCTCTGTTTCAGCTCCGGGGTCAGTTTGACATCATCGCTCATCAGCTGCAGAACTCCAACAGCAGTAACGACCTGAACAACCAGCTGACCAGCTGCATGGAGAAGTAAATATACACACACACACACACACACACACACACACGCACACACACACCTCCCTCAGACAGCAACACCAAACACCGAGGATGAGGGAGGATTCACTGAATGACTGTTTCTCTGTTCTTAATAACAGTCCTCACACACTCATCTGTAAATGTTCATCTTGTTGTTTTCATCAGTCTGGAGTTAAAGTCTGTCGTCTGCAGAGACTCTGTTCAGACACGTCCAGACGCCAAAACAAGAGTTGTAACCTGTGTGGGTGAAAGCTGCAGGATACAGACCTAGACCTGGTTATCATAGAACATAATGTTATATATATTATATTAATAATAACACCAAATATTCATTATTTACAAAATCAGCTCAAAATAGCTGCAGATTCCACTTTCTGATGATGTCATTATCATTATCTCTGACGTCCCTTCAGAATAAAGCTCCAGAAATCTAATTAGACACCAGAGAACAGAAGCTGTTTCCTTTCCACAGTAATTCAGTGATGGTTGTCTGAACATCCATGATGCATTGCAAACAGGAAGTGATCCCAGCTGATTCGGCTGCTCTTAAAGGGACAGTTTGACTGAGTGTGCACAGATACAGACTAAACATGAGACTGTTCAGTGCAGGTGAGAAAACCAGGTGTTTCTATCTTGATGCAATGGAGGGGTAGGGCTAGTGTAGAGGATGATGATGATGAAGGTGTGTGTGTGTGTGTGTGTAACTGATGGATGTGTTTGTTTTCTCTTCCTGTGTGTGCAGGTTGTCTTCACTGAGTCTGACACCAGAGGAAACACCTGAGATGAGTTTCCAAGCCGACACTCGCTCTCTGAGACAGGCCATCACCTCGTTCGGCAGTATCACTGCACAGGTGAGACACACACACACACACACACACACAGAGATGTTCTGTCAGAGTGATCCTGACTAAGTATTTTCTCTACTTCCTGTTTGCAGCTTGTTGAGGGTATGTCCTCTCAGAGCTCCGCCCACCAGAGAGGTCAGGTGCAGACTTGTCCAATCGCAGCCAAGAAACAGGTAACTCCACCCTGCAGGTAGATGAAGTAAAGGTGTGGCTGTGTGTGATCTGGATCAGTCTGATCTGATGTTGTGGATCTGTGTCTCTGCAGAAGACCGAGGTCGCAGCTCTGGGCGACTGGCTGCTGGGAACCCGTCCAACCAGCAGCGCTCCTATTAGTTACCAGTCCAGCAAGAACCCTCAGGATTGGTTGATGTCACACAAGGAGAGCAAGGTGAGAGAGACGTCGTCAGAAGGTTTGAACCCATGAAATAAAGAGTTACTAATAATCAGTTTGAGGCAGAGAATGGTAATTGATTGCTTAATTACTTCCTGTGCGTCTATGCAGAATTCCTGTCCCGTCCTGGCCTCGGTGGACTTCCTGCAGGCCTGGGGTCAGCTCAGGGACCTGGAGGCGTGGCTGCTCCGGGACCAGGCCCCCGTCAGCAGGGAGAGGACCAGCAGCAGCTGCAGCTCCTCCTCCTCCTTCTCCATCGAGAAGATCGACGAATCAGAGTTTACCGTCACTCCCGAGGAGGAGGAGGAGGAAGGGGGGGAGGAGCTGAACGACTGGCTCATCACCCCACCCACTGTTGCCATGGAGGCCATTTCAGATGCCGAGCGGTGGCGGCAGGTGTTGAAGCCCTTCGAGGACGGCTGGGCGTGCACTGATTGGCTGGCGGGGTCGAGCCCCCCGGCCGGCGACTGCTCCTCCTGCTGTCAGACCACCAAAGCCTTGGAGATTGAGAACCTGGGCCAGCTCAAGTGCCTGAAGACCCCGCCTGCCACCAGCCCCGCCTCAAGCCCCACCACCCCGGCGCCCCCTGCAATCGCCCCGGTGACGGCCCTGGAGGCATGGCTGCAGCAGGCAGTTCCGGTGCAGCAGACCTGCAGGGCCAACGAGCTTTGCTCCGCCTACTCGGAGTGCGTCTGCGAGGAGAACTGTGGGAAAGAAGCTCTGAACGTCTGGCTGCTGCAGCAGGACGGACGAGACAAGAACGGAGTCCCTGTGGTCAAGAACGCCCCCGCAACTGAAAAAAACACCCCCACACCCTTGAAAACAGCCCCACCCACCCTGCACCACAGAGAGCAGGAGCAGAAGGTAACAACGGTATTAATGTTAATTGAGAACATATGAGAAAAATAAGCAATGTTAATTCTGTTCTTCATTTGTTTGTTTTTTTTCTCACTGATAAGAGAACCGTTACAACACGCGATCGATAAGTAGTATTGATAGAGTATCGTTAAAGTCTTACCGATACCCATCCCACATGTGACACACTGGTGTAGAAAACAACCTCAACATCAGAAAGCTCTTCCTGCCTGTAAAGTTCGATTGATGACATTAATGTTTCTGTAAAACCTCAGGAACAGGTGTCCCAGCAGCTGATTCAGAGTCATGTGACTGTGTTGTCATGGCAGCTGAGGGGGCGGGACTAGAGGACACGGGGATCCCCAGGTTCAGACTGAACAGATCCACATGACTGTCGAGTGACTGTGGACTCTTCTCTCCTCAGGTTCAAGCTATCCTGGAGGCCTGGCTCCACCCCACCAACACCTCCTCCTCCTCCTCCTCCTCCTGCAGGACTCCTCTGAAGGCTCTCACCTCCTCTCTCTCCGGCTGGGTGGCTCCTGAGACGGAGAAGGCCAGCAGGGAGGACCACAGCTCTGACTTCAAGCCCTCCTCCTCCCTGTTCCAGTGCCCTCTGGATCCAGAGCTCTGGGTCCTCCCAGGAAAGACTCAGACTCCTGCTCCGGGGTCAGGAGGTCAGCCCCGCCCTGCAGAAGAGGAAGACAAGTGGCTGCTGAAGAAGAGGAGTCAGGCTCAGGTAACAGGACCAGACTAGTTGTCATGGCAACAGAAAAATTCACTGAGGGATTTGGATTTGGATCTGTTGGGTCTGAGCTTCAGGCTCCACAGTTCAGACTGTTCTGACTGTTCTTTGTTCTCAGGAGCGTCTGGCGTTACCTACAGTCTGTGACCTGTTCTCCTGTATGAAGGTGGGCGGGGACAAAGAAAAATGGCTGCACAAAGCTCCTGTACAGGTGAGTTAAAAATACAGAGCGGTGTATCAGACACACATGATCCCACCTGCACACACCTGTACAGGCACAGCTCTCAGTATAATGCAGTCTGGTCATAGTGCACAGGTGTCTGAGCAGCTGAAACTCGACAGGTGAGAACAGGTTTTTCTCATCCTTCGTGTCTCTGCTTTCCCTCCAGATGTGATGGCGACGACGACGATGTTTCTTCTTCTCACTTTATCGCTGATCAGCGCACACGACAATAACAATCTAACCATCGCCTTCTTCCTGTGACATCACAACGCCGAGCCGCTGCTCTCCTCCGATCAGGATTAGGATCAGACTGATCAGGACACTAAGATACAAACTGTGGAGATTAAATAACCTCACCTCTGTCGGAGCTTTCAACCACGTCTCACAGTCTTCATCTGGAAGGAAAACAGAACTGATGTGGTTGAAAGCTCAGGAAAAGCTTTTAGAATAAGAATTTGAGTAACGGACTGAGCCTCGTTCACTTCATCCAGAAAATCATGAGCTGATTAATCGTTATTGAAAATAATTATCTGCTGTCCTGCTTAAAGCCCTTTAACTGATTATTATCATTGACTGAAGTGATTAGTCATAAATCAGTTATTAGTTAGTTAATCAAGTCACAAACATCTATGTGACAGCTGAGGTTTGTTTTGAATTTGTCATCAGCTGATCCTGACAGGAGGAGAGGGGCGGGGTTAATGCTAGAATGGGCGGGGTTACTCAGGGGTGGGTGGGATTAAAGCTAAATATACATATATATATATAGTAGCCTTTATTTTAATGGATCTTATTTTAACAGCTGTTTTTAAGAGACTTTTATTCCTTTTCTTTTGTTCTCCTGTGAACCTGCTGGAACCTCAGAGTTCCACTTCCTGTCTGCTCAGACTGCCGGCCGAGCTTCAGTTTAAATGTGATTTTAGTCTCCACGACGATGCCTGGTCTCTCGATGTGACGCAGCGTCGTTAACAGCCTGAATCAGAAAATCTACAGGATCAAAGAGAAAGAACTTCATTTCCCAGAATGCCTTGTGTGGAGGCAGCCTGCAGTCTGAGCAGACGGGTGTCATGACTCTGTCGTCAGCAGTGATTGGTGCTTTTTATTGAAGCTCTGCTGTGGTCTTTTGGGGGGGGGGGGGGCTTCTGTGATGTCATCAGTTCTCTGCTGTGGTCTGTGATTCTCTACAGTAATAAAACATAATGACATCATGGCAGTGTTTGTGACATCACTCTGATCTTTCACTGCAGTAAAGTAGAAATACTCTGCGTCCATTCGTGTGTTCATCATTTTAGGAGGAGCTCATCATTATTTATTGATTATATTGACTACCATTGATCAGAATCTGTAACGTAAGAGCAGCTGGAAACTGCTCTTTTTACTCTTTAATGACACAGGAAGAAACAGGTTGTTGACTCCACCCCCTCTACCTGCCGCAGTGTTGACAGCAACACTTTGACAGGTCTGAAAATTCCAGTTTATTTCAGAAAACCTCTTTGGAAGTTTCCTGGAAAGAATCATATAATTTGGTAAATTACAGCGGGATCAATGCTAAGCTAACACAACGCTAATCCTGAACCCTGAACTCTCCCTGAGATCAGCTGATCAGAGTCGGTTCAGTCTGACTGAGGTTCGTGCTTTGAATGAAAAGAAAAGACAGTCGTCGTCAGTGGAGCTCCTGGGTAACGAGTCACCACGGCAACGGGTAAATAATGAGAAGAGCCCTCGTCTCACTCCACTAGACCACAGCACTTAGCAATTTGATCTCGAAATGTTTAAATGTTTATTCAGCTGTGACCTGACGGGACAGAGTTGTGCTGCAGCAGATGAAGAAACAGATCAAACATAGAAGACATTTGATTATTGATTAAATTATTGTAACCTCACAGTCTGAACCAGGAATAAAGAGTTTGGTGTTTTCCAGTTGAAAAAGCCTCCCGGTTAACGGACGTTTTTCTTCTTAATGACCATATTTCAACATTATTTAGTAGAACAGTAGAAATTAATATTATATTGATGATAATGATAATAAATTCAGTGTCAAAATTTTATTTTTAAACTACATTTAGTCCAGAGGGTGGAGTCGTGTGAAGGTCGATAATAAACTTAATGCAAGTAATTGGCTTAAGATAACTTTGTCTCTTGAGTGTTAAACTGTGGCAAAGACATTAGACTGTAAATCAGCTGCTTCCTGTCAGGTGAGCCCTTACCTGAACACAGTCATCGTACAGCTGGTTCTCGTCAGCTGATGTTTACTGGAATCAAACAGGAATTAGATTCTGGTTTCTGGTGAAGGAAATAAACAAGTTTCCATTAAACTGAAGGGGAATTTATTCTGAAGTTTCCAGACCAGAGGAGGAGCAGGAAGTTCATTGTCTCTGAAGTCAGGCGTCCATTGTAACATGACAGTAACAAAAACCAGCTGCAGATTTTCTTTTGTTTCTGTTTCTGTGAAATTTTCCAGGTGAGCCACACCTGTAACCTGCTGCTACCTGAGGCTGAGGAGAGTCTCACTAACAACAGATCCACTGTGACGCACAGACACTTAATATTGGAGCGTAAATGTGTTTAAGTCAACCAGAAGTCAAGCTCTGAGAAAAACCTGCAGCTCGGTAAAACCTGGATCATGTTAGAATGATACAGAGACATGAACCATATCATGGATAAACCAGGACCAGGACCAGAGACGCTAGTCTTCATATATGTTGTTGATGACGGGACAGATCAGAACTCTTCACATTATTATAAAATATGATCATCCTTCCTTCAGTCCCGGTTCCAGACACAAACCAGTTTAACCACAAGTGAAACCACTAATGCCAGTAACACTGACACCTTCACATTCTTACTGACTGTTTCAGTTTCTTCTTTTCTGCTTCATTTGTTTTTACTTTCAGATACATTGAATTAATTAACAAGTTAAAATGGACTGAACACACACACACACACACACACACACACACACACTGATAACACGCTGATAAACTTCCTGTTTACTGCAGCTGACGAGGTCACACCCACCACCAGGAGGACACTGATAGACAGAGTTATGACATCACTGTGACCTCGCTCACCACACCCCCAGCCCCAGAGACCATTTACCACAGTAACTGAGAACATTTACTTTACACTAACCATCAAACAGCTGCAGCTACTTTTCACATTAAGAGTCTATACACAAAGTGAGTCTGTTTAGATGTGAAGGGGTCCACCATGATCAGGACCAGGACCCTGAGGGGTCAGGGGACCTGTATGAAGGTCCTGATCTGGATCAGCAAGTTCATATAGATCATCTGCAACCGAATTCAATTAATGTTTATTTTGAAGTGTTTCTTCATATTTCAGTTGCACAGAAACCACCTCAAAGACACAAAACCACAGGGAAGAGACTCAAAACCACCACAAAGACACAAACCACCACAGACAGACAGGAAATGACCAAAGGAAATGAAAGTGGAGCTGCTCATCTTCCATGTTTTTATCATCACAGTAATGAAAGATAAACAACTGAGGTTCAACTGAGTTCTGAAGAAAACACAGACCTGGGATCAGGGTCCAGTTTGTCTTCCTGTTAAAACAACCTGTTGTTTTGACCTGATGAGACTGTGACTGACTGTTTACCTATAGCTGTCAATCAAACAGGTCTGGGTAAGTCTGAAGGTCAAAGATCTTCAACACAGAGCAATGATCCACACGTGGCCAACAGCCAGTTACTGAGAATCATTAACTGACCTCAGGACAGTTTACACCGAGATCATACACACTGAGCTGAAGGTGAAAGAACTGAACTCTGTCCACATATCAGTTTATTATCCACAGGAGTCACAATGGTGTTTCTATAACAACCAAGTCTCCATCGAGTCTGAAGTCTCAGGTTTGTCCTCATCAACGAAGACAAGTCACAATTAAAGTCTTGAGTCAGTCGAGGTGAGTCATGGTCAAGTCTCAATTCTCAAGTCCAAGTCTCAGGTTAGTCAAGGTCTCAGGTTAGTTTAGTTCACTTCAATAAAGACAGGTTACAAGTAAAGTCTTGAGTCAGTCAAAGTCGAGTCTCAAGTCAAATCTCTAGTTGGTCGAGAGTTCAAGTCTCAGGTTAGTTTAGTCAAGTCCCCGTCAATAAAGACAAGTTACAAGTAAAGTCATAAGTCAGTCAAGGTCATGTCTCAAGTGTCAAGTGTCAAGTCAAGTCTCTGTTTGGTCAAGAGTCCAAGTCTCTGGTTAGTTAAGTCCATGTCAATAAAGACAAGTCATAAGTTAAGTTTTAAGTCAGTCAAGACGAGTCCAGATCAGGTCTCAAGACTCAAGTCAAATCTCTGTTTGGTCGAGAGTCCAAGTCTTAATCTAGTCAGATGAGAAATTTAAATTTAGTCCTGGGTCCAGATGACTACAAGTCTCAGTTTTTGCTAAGACGGGTCAAGGGTCAAGTCAATGAAGACACGTCTCTCGTCAGCCGAGACCAGTTACAAGTCAAGTCTCAGGTCCGCAGCTCTGCTCAGGTCTCAGGTACTCTGAAGATCGATTGATGAGCTGATCAATATTTTATTAATCAGAAACAGCTTCATCCTCTGCTGTCAGATTCTCTGTTTCTCTGTTTATTGTCACAGTACCTGAAGACATCACCTGTTCACCTGTTCACCTGCTGAGTACATTTGATCACCCCAGTCAGTTTTATGGAAATATTCCTTCAGGTGAAGTTCAGCTCAGCTCTATTGTGACCTTTGACCTCCAACCGGCCCACACTCAGGTGAGTTAACACAGCTGTGTTTGTGCGTGTCCTTCAGTGTCATCGGGACAACACAGCGCTGAGGATCAGTGGACACAGCTGTGTTTGAACAGAGAGGAGGAGACCTGACACGTGGACTTTTATTTTGGATTTGAACTCTTGTTTCTATCCTGTTTTTTATTTCCAGTCTGAGTTTATTGATGTTTAAAGTTTTATGGATTTGTTTCTTATATCATTTTGAACCTTTGATCAGCTGTTTGTTTCATGTTTATGACCAGAACTAGGTCAAAAATTACATTTGTTTTTTATTTATGTATTTTTTTTATTCATTTGATTATTTTTATGTTCTCATTTTCACCTGTAACACCAGTGTGTGTGTGTGTGTGTGTGTGTGTGTGTGTGTGTGTGTGTGTGTGTGTGTGTGTGTGTGTGTGTGAGTGTTGGGTTTTTAATCTGAGCAGCTCAGTTCTTCCAGTCAAACAAACTGAGACTTTGCTAAGTTTCATTCAGACTGCATTTCCCAGCATTCATTGCAAGCTGTCGTCACTGTGGAAACAAACAGTTGTGAAGACAGAGCTCCACCTGCTGCTCACTCAGACTCACTACAACTGATCAGCTCTGACTGACACCCAACTGTGTTCAGGTGTTACTGATACCTGGACCTGGACCTGGACCTGGACCTGGACCTGGACCTGGACCTGGACCTGGACCTGGACCTGGCTGACCACACACATTCACACTACTGAGTATGTTTACATTCACACTGGTGTCCTGCTTATTATCTGGATCTGGTTTCTGGAGTACTTCAGACAAAACCAGGATACTGTGAACACCTGAGTCACTTAAAGCAAAGTGCTGATGGATTGATTATTGATGGATTTATGATTGATAGATTTAATTTAAATTTTGCCTTTAATTTCCTCTGCTTTAATTTTCTTGTTCTCTCTTTACTGCATCTTTTCTTTTATGACACTAATTGTTGGTGACTCAGCTACTCTGTTCGCGGCACATGTGAGTTCTGCACATCTCATTGGCCAAGTGTTTCGACTGTACCATTTTCAAAATAACTGGGGGGGGGGGGGGCATGACAAGTTCAAATGTGTGTTCAACACATATACAACACATTTATATGTAAATGCATATAAATTGTATTGTTAATGAAATAACTTAGTAAGTTTTTGTACTTGATCCCATTTTAGTATTAACCATAGATCTTTGCATGGGCCACCCCTGGGCCTTGTACCCTTTGACCCCCCCTCCCTGACAGCGTGTTCATCAGTTTAATGTTGCAGCTGATGAAGATGGAGCTGATTTAAATGACTAAATAAATGAGTATCACCTTATTTTAACCTTTAATACATCATAATTTGTTGATGTATTATATTTTGATTTATTGATCTGAATCTGCACAGTGACTAAAGTTAGAGAAATGTGGTGAAGTATGATATAAAGTAGCATAAAATGGAAATACTCTAGTTAAGTACAAGTAGCTCATTATTATAGTGTCACACTTTCTGATCTCAGGGTCGAGAACAATCTTCCATGTTCAAACGGACAATTTTCCTCAGCCATAAGTGACGCAGCGGAGGGCGGGAACGTCCAGTAGTGCAGTAACTCAAGTATAGAAAGTTGACATTTTAGTTGACACAGTAAATGTCTTCATAACTCTGAACTGATTATTAGGCCCACAGAAGAACATTTACTCTAATGATATTACATTTCTTTAAAGAATATCATCATAGGATAAACAACATGGACATGTACTGTAATATAATCAGACAGTATTTTATTTGATCCACTGCGGATCACTGTGTTCACATTCCCTCCTCTTTTCTTCTTCTTTCACTCTCTCAGCTCCACTCATCCGTCCCTGGAAATGTCCTGCTGACTGCTACTGCTGCTCTGCTCATAGTCATCCAGTCAAGTCCAGTGTAATCTTACAACACGTGTGAAAAATTACATTGCTATCATGGAATTACATTTTCATTTTCGAGTTTACATGATTATCTTAATAGTCCCCAATAGGCTTCTATAATGACTTTAATATTTATAATTTTATTTTTCCAGATGCTTTGAGGATGAAACACAAAATCATAATCATGGATTGTGCATTTAAAGGAGAATCCACCCCTTTTTAAGAATTCACTTTGTTAAGCCTGTGCCCCAGAACAAACTGGTGAGTATTTGTAAGAAACCAAAGGGAGAACCTTAAAATGCGCAATGTCATCCCAGTTTGCTCTAGAACAATGAATGGGGCTCTGATGCTGCGAGGCCATAAAATATTTGTGTAATTTCTTACATTAAAATTAGTGTTTCACGTTTTAAACTTCTGGATGAGAGCTGTAAGGACACAGCTTCTGTATATTATGGGGTTAGTGAGGGAACTTAGTGGCCTAAAGTCATTTCAGCTTTATAACTTCAGTAGCCTGACTCAATTAAAAAGAGTTATGCAATTCCTGCATTCCACATTTTCATTTGTCACTTCTGACATTTAATCAATATTTTACTGGAAATCACATGTGTTGATTCTTCACAAAGTCAGAGCCCCTCGTGTTAATCTATGGATTCTCTGTGATTTCTATCTTTAGGACAGATAACTCAGATTTAACTGTCCTTCAGCACTGGAGTAACACATGCGACATTTAAGCCTTTTATTTAGTCAAAATGACTTTCTAATTAATGAACTGTACGTTTATGAAAGTTGTGATCATTATTTATTAGTAACTTGAACTTTGTGCACAGCTGCTGGTGGACTTACAGCTACAGTTTATTGATTGTTGCTGCTGCTTGTGGACTTCATGCTGGTTTACTCCGTGACCATGAGAATGTGAGTACTTGTGTTGTGTAAATGTATCTTAATAAAACAGCATTTTATATAATCTGATTCCATCCTGCATCTAAGTGAAGGGCTGGCGTGAGGAAAATAGCAGGAAATTAATAAACAGCGTTCAGGCTCACCGCCAGAACAGTAATGGCCGTCCAGCACGGGTGGCGTGCTTCAGGCCAGGTTGTGGGTTGTTGGACTCTGAAAACCAGATGGATATCACATCAGCTGGATCTCTGGGCCCAGACCCGGCCGAGTCTTTGCCAGAAATCATGAAAATACCAATTATGCTGTGAACAGCAAATGGACTGAATTTTTATAATAAACTCAATGGTAAAAAAATCATTCAAAAATGTTTATAATAAATGAAATTAAAAGCATTAGTAAATATCTTCCTAATATTTACAACTTTCAAACATTTTTATTTGTTTAATTTGTTTGGAGATCGGTTCTATATTTGCAAGATATTTTTTGTGAGTTTACAAATGTATGTTTTGTATTTGTGGAAGGTGTTTTATATTTACAGATCACACATTTACTCACATAAATAATACTGAGACAAAATCTACGTCCATACCCATCCCTCTTTCTCTTCACCTGCACTCGTTTTCACATCTCATTTTCCCTTCTCTCCTTCATTCTTGTCCTTCCTTCCTTTCTCACTCCTCCCTTTCTACTCTCTTCTTCACTCTTCACATCCAGACTTCCTGTTCCGTGTTCTTACCACCAGTTCTCCACCACATATTTTTCTCCTCTCTTCTTCTCCTTACTTCAGCTTTCCACACCTTTCTATTCCTGCTTCCTCTCCTGGTCCACAGGTTGTCCTGTCCTGTCCCTTCGCTCTCTTACTCATTTTCCCTCATGACTCACCCAGCTCGCCAAAAATAAATAATAAAATAAATGGCTATTTCCCCAGTACAGTTCTAATAGAGCTGCATTAAAATAACTATGTAAATATAAATAATGTTATTTTAAACGCTTTTGGGAAAACATCCGGGGCTGGAGCCCCACAAACCGCCCCCCTGGCTCCGCCTATGAGACAAGGGTGTTTATTCCAGTTATTCTTAAATGAGAAGACACAATATAATCTGAGAGGCAGAAATGCAGAAATAAAAACCCTGATGTGAAAGGTTCAACTTTAAAAAGAAATTAACCCGGAAAAATGAACTTTTCTAAGTTTGAAATCGTCCGGTTTCGGTTCTGAAACTTCACGACACCTCGCGACATTTGCAGGCAGAGTTTGCGGCCGTCCAATCAGATTGGATGCACCGAGCAGGCTGCGCAGGAGCACAGCCAATCACAGATCAGAGAGGATCCGCGCGGTCTGCCGCCCGCCGCCTCTCTCCCGCAGCGACTGATCCACTCTGCCCAGCGACCTGCCGCTCCGTGCCGCAGCAGCGGTTGCTAGTCGACAGGCTGCCGCTGCTCTCCGGTTGGGATGTGACAGAGGTGCGGTAGACTATCCAGACCCAGACCTCATCCAGGACGAACCGGGAGAAGGGGGACCGTTCCGGGTTGAATCGTAAGTGCTTATGTTGGACATTATCTCGGTGGTTTAAGCGGTGAAAGGCTGAAACGCAGCGCGTGTCTGGTAAAGCGGCGGTGTGTATGTGTGTGTGTGTGTGTGTGTGTGTGTGTGTGTGTGTGTGTGTGTGTGTGTGTGTGTGTGTGTGGGGCGCGCGCGCGCGGAGGTACATGATTATCCTGTGGAGAAATATTGGGACAAACCCGGTTAACGCTCCGTTCACAAAATGTCGATTTAAGAGAAAAACGGTGACGCTGCAGCGGACAACACACCAGAGGCCCGAGGGTTTACCGCCCTCCTCCTCTACATCTTCCTCCGCTTCATCCTCCTCCTCTCCTCCTTCTTTCCTCCTCCTTTTCATCCTCTCCTCCTCTTCTCCTCCTCCTCTTCACCCTCTTCATCCTCATCTCCTCCTCTTCATCCTCTCGTCTCCTCCTCCTCCTCCTCCTCCTCCTCCTCCTCCTGTATTGAAGCCTACTTCCATCACCTACAAATATTCATATTTAATGTGATAAAGACAAATCTACTGAGACAATAAATTATAATCTGACCCACAGAGTCCATATGATTAGATGAAGATGATGAAGATGATGAAGATGCCGGCTATGCAGACATGTCCAGCTGTAAAGTGTCTGATCTGTAATATTTTAATAACACTGTCACTAAAAATGAGATTAAAGATATAAACAGATACAGAATTGATCCACAGGGCTGATAGATATCGATCAATATCAGCTGTGTGTATGTCAGCTGATAAACGATGAGTTAAACTGATGTAACATGTTGTGTTACAGATAAGGAAAATGAATAGATTTGATTGTCTTCAAATATATATATTCAATTCTCAAATTTACCTCCCAAATCCTGTGTCAGTCAGTAAAACAGTAAAACAGTCAAACATATTATTGCCATAAATGGAGATCATTTCACTTCCTGTTTCCTCCAACTGTACCTAAAATGACAGAAACTCATCTTTGGGAAAAATGAATTTGACGTGTACTTTGAATTTTTAGTTTGGCCCATGTCCCATCCGCTTGAATGGAGGGGGCGGGGTTTATTTTATGACCTATACTGCAGCCAGCCACCAGGGGTGATGTCCATCTTTATATACAGTTATTGTAAGACTACATATATATGTATATATATATATATATATACATATACATATATATATATATATATATATATATATATATAAGACTGACAGTTACAGACTGTTACAGAGAGACAGTTATAGACAGTTATAGAGAGACAGTTACAGAGAGACAGACAGTAACAGACGGTTACAGAGAGACAGATAGAGAGACAGTTACAGACAATTATAGAGAGACAGATAGTTACAGAGAGAGTGACAGTTACAGAGAGACAGTTATTGAGAGACAGACAGTAACCGATGGTTACAGACAGTAACAGACAGTAACCGACGGTTATAGAGAGACAGACAGTTACAGAAGGTTATAGAGAGACAGACAGTAACAGATGGTTACAGAGAGACAGTTATAGAGAAACAGACAGTAACCGACGGTTACAGAGAGACAGACAGTTCCAGACGGTTACAGAGAGACAGTTATAGAGAGACAGACAGTAACTGACGGTTGCAGAGAGAGTGACAGTAACAGACAGTAACCGACGGCTACAGAGAGAGGGACAGTTACAGACGGTGATAGAGAGACAGACAGTTACAGACGGTGATAGAGAGACAGACAGTAACCAACGGTTACAGAGAGACAGACAGTTACAGAGAGACAGTTATAGAGAGACAGACAGTAACCGACAGTTATAGAGAGACAGACAGTTACAGACGGTTATAGAGAGATAGACAGTTACAGACGGTTACAGAGAGACACTTATAGAGAGACAGACAGTTACAGACGGTTATAAAGAGATAGATAGTTACAGACCGTTACAGACAGTTACAGGGAGTGACAGTTACAGACTGTTATAGAGAGATAGACAGTTACAGACGGTTACAGAGAGACAGACCGTTACAGACGGTTACAGGGAGTAACAGTTACAGACTGTTATAGAGAGATAGACAGTTACAGACGGTTACAGGGAGTAACAGTTACAGACTGTTATAGAGAGATAGACAGTTACAGACGGTTACAGGGAGACAGTTATAGAGAGACAGACAGTAACCGACGGTCACAGAGAGCGTGACAGTTACTGACAGTTATAGAGAGACAGACAGTTACAGACAGTTACAGACGGTTACAGAGAGACAGACCCTTACAGACTGTTACAGGGAGTGACAGTTACAGACGGTTATAGAGAGACAGACAGTTATAGAGAGACAGACAGTTACAGACGCTTATAGAGAGATAGACAGTTGCAGACGGTTACAGGGAGACAGTTATAGAGAGACAGACATTTACAGTTAGAGACAGACAGGTACAGTTACAGCCAGTTACAGATGGTTATAGAGAGACAGACTGTTACGGAGAGACGGACAGTTACAGAGAGACAGTTACAGATGGTTACAGACAGTTACAGAGAGACAGACAGTTATACAGAGACAGACAGTTACAGTTAGAGACAAACAGCTACAGAGAGACAGACAGTTACAGTTACAGATGGTTACAGACTGTTACAGAGAGACAGACAGTTACAGTTAGAGACAAACAGTTACAGAGAGACAGACAGTTACAGATGGTTACAGACTGTTACAGAGAGACAGACAGTTATAGAGAGACAGTTACGGACAGCTAGACAGAGGACAATCTGTCAAGCTGAGCAGAATAAGTAAAGAGCTTCTTTTGTTTGCAAAATTCAAAATAAAATCCCATTAAAAACACTAGATTTCTGAGTTTTAACTGCAATATTTCCTCTGAGTAATAATTACTCACTGATTTTAAAAATTAATAAATAGATAGACTATAAATTGTCATTACACTGAAGCTTGTATAAACAATTTTTTTTTTTCATTTTTATCCGGGAGTGACAGCAATAAGTCATTAATAATTCTAATAGTCTTTAGATCAAATGAGAGAAAGAAATTGAAGATTCTTTTCATTTAACTTTATTTTTATTGTATTTTATATTTAATTTTGTGTTTTAGTTTTTATTTTATGCTTAACTTGTTAAACATTACTTTATTTAATTTTATAGATATTTTTTCATTTTATTTTATCTTACGATACTTTATTGTGAAAGCCAATCTACCGTACTTCCGTTCTTCGCAACCATTTAATCCTTTCCCACAATGCTTTGTGTCCACGTCCCCTGCTTCCTGTTTATTGTGACCGTCTCCACCGGTAAAAATTTAACGTTTTCTCCGCTGTGCCGCCGTTAAAGATCGGTGAGTAACCGAATCTCGAAACGTTTCACCGCCAAATCCGTTTATCGCCGTTAATTACGCGGTTTGATCTTTTACTTTGACAGTTAAGGTTGAAGGAAGAGAAAATCCCTCCTCTGCTTCCTCATCACTGAGACTGAGCTCGGCCGAGCCCCGGAACTCCGCTCAGAAAATTCATCATTTAAAACCTCCTCTTTTTAAATCAAAGATAAAATAATTTTTAAGAAAATTTAAAACGTTTTGCGTAATCAAAGACTCATGTAATAATTTCGGCGCTCAGATAAGACACTGAAAAGCGGAAAATGTGGAAGAAAGGGCATCTTTAATAATGGATGCCCTGCTAGCAACCGCCCTCCGCGGGAATATTTAGTGGGAAATAATCGCGGGAATAATGAAGAAATCTTTCATCTATGTTGATATTCAGTGTCGAATAAATGCAGCTTGTTTTATTTAATGCGCCAAAGACTCAATATTGGGGGAACAATCGGGTTTAAAGGAAAGGTCTGCCTGTCACGTATGTCGGGCTCCCGGCAGGCTTGGAGACATTAAAAATTACTGATTTGTGAACGGAGTTCGGTGAGACGGTTTGTCTTGGTTAAAAGAAAGAATGAATGTGTAGCAGAGGAGCCGGAGGGTTTTTTTTGTTTTGTTTTTATTAATCTGATTTATTTATTTATTTGATCAGTTTTCTGCAGAAACGTCTTTGCTGCTTCTGATGAATCTCATATTAAAGATTTATATAAACGTTACATTTCCTTTTGGCGGCTGTTGTGTCTGACAGAGGTCACAGGTCATCTGTGTTTATGATGTGCAGTGACGTCAGAGTGGTGACCTTATATGGATGTTGGTGTCAGTCCGCGGTAATGACAGTGACGTGTTTGTTCTCTGGATCATTAATGATGCCTTATGACAGATTACTGTAGTTGCTGCAGTAACCAGAGATGCAGATACTGATCGATTATTTTAACATTCCTTCATCTTTTACTGTCACAGTGATGTCATACGTGTGGGTTCATTAGATTAGACTCAGGCTGACAGATGTTCAGATAACTCTGAGGTAAAACCGAGAAAGAATTAAAGCCTCACGTTGCAGAATCCAACATCGTCATTGATTTAATATCTTGTGAATTAACTCATCGAGGGACAGTCATAGCATCAGAGCTGAAACGATCAGTCGATCAATTAACTTAATTCATTTATCAATCAAAAACACCAGTTGCTTCTTCAGTGTGTTAGGAGGCTGAAATGTGCTGCAGTGCAAACATCAAGTAGCAGAAAAAGGAAATACTCCAGTAAAGTACAAGCACCTTAAAACTGTAGTTAGGTACAGTATTTCAATAATTGTACTCAGTTACTTTCCACCACTGTTAATATGAAAATGAAGCTCATATAAAAATGTCTTTCTTGGAGAATAACTTGTTTCAGTCCTTCACGGATATCTTTGCTGAACAGAATGACTGTATAAAATCGAATGGAAAAAAAAAAAAAAAAAAAATTCAAACATTCGATTGTGATTGGTCCGCTGCACTGAATGCAGGACGGACAGGAGTCACACAACGCCACTGTCCTTATTTTAAAATGAAATTTAACTCAAGCTGAAACAAGCGAATGATTTCACAACAACAGTGTGGTTATGACGGCAGAGAGCTCACACCCAAACTCAACCACAAAAAAACAATCTAAAAAGACCTGTAGGATTTTGGTCATTAGACACAAAACTGTAGAACCTCAAGATAAAGAAAACAATATAAGCTACAGTTAGCTTAGCAACCGTTCCATCTGCGAGAAAGGGGCAGGAGAGAGAGGGACCATGAACAGCTGTATAATAACAGTTATACCCAGAGGTAATGGTGTTATCATATGTGCTGGTGAATGTTAATTGTTGTAGTGGATGGTTGGAACCTGTGTGTTTCTTTACAGGGAATAATCAAACATTTTGACAGCGCTACTCTGGGTACTGATCAGCTGATCAGTGATATAACTGCTGTATCTGAGAGAGGGACGGTGACAGTACATGCTGACCTCTCCCCTTTTCTTTCCTCCTCTTCTCTCCTCTTTCTCCTTTCTCCCCACCCCCCTCTCCTCTTCCTCAGGCCTGTGGCTGCTCCTCTGAAGCTCTTCCTCTCCTCCACCTCGGTACAGGATGGAGGACACGGAGACGGAGCTGACGGTGTCGGAGTCGGACGCCCTGGGAGCCGACTTCATCACAGTGGAGCTGGACACGCAGCCCATTGAGTACGTGGTGAAGTGGGCCGAGGTCGGCTCCAAGTTCACCATCTCCTGTGTGAAGAAGGACTCAGACGACCCGTCGGACCTGACTGCCGACCAGCTGAAGATCGAGACGGACGAGGCCTTCTTCGCTCCGTACGAGGAGGTTTACCCCTGCGAGGTGACGGAGCAGAGCGTGGAGATAAAGACAGACTCTGACGAGGATGAGGAAGACACCGAGGAGGAGCACGAGGTGCTGGTGGAGGCAGGGAGCAGCCAGCTGGACGGCGAGGCCGACTCGGACCAGGCTGACTTCGAGCCGGACGAGCGGCAGTACCGCTGCAGCTACTGCGGGAAGTGTTACAGCCACGCCTCCAGCCTGTACCGCCACCAGCAGACGCACACCGGGAAGAGCACCGGGGCGCCGCCGCCCGCCAAACGGGCACTGGAGCCGACGCATCAGGATGCACGTTACACCTGCCCCCACTGCGGGATGAGCTTCAAAGGCAGCAGGTCCGTACTCTCTGTTCCACCTCTGCACGGTGGAGTACATAGTCCTGATCCAGATCCGAGTCCTTTAATATCTGCTGGTCCAGTCTGATCTGATGTAGATTAAATCTGCACCTGTTACAGAACAGCTGCAGATTCTAATCTATAAAGTTATTGATCTGATATGAATCAAAGTTTAACTGGAGAATGAAACTTGTCTGAACTCAACCAAAGACCTTCTGTGAGGGAAGAAGCTCCACTCTGTGACACCGCTGTACAACCAGAGTGTTTCTGTATTTCAACAACTTCAACAGAGTGAGACATCCTCTCTAATAAACCATCAGCTGATCTCAGGTCAGTTTCAGGAGCAGTTAAACTTTCATTCATATCAGATCAATCATTTAAACTGATCAATCATCATGTAAAATCAGTTGTGTCAGATTTAGGTTCTGCAGCTGTTGTTTAAAGATTTAATCTACGTTTACATTCAGTCTGAGAATCAGATCAGATCAGAGTCTGGACAGTGATGAAAGAACATCTGTATGAAGTTAGTACTTATAGTTTAAATATTTCAAACGTAACAGAATAAAAAAAAAACGTACATCAGCCAGCTCATATTATATTTAGGAGGATCCTGGTTGGCTGCTGCTACAGGCGAGCTGCAGACGCTCAGGTGAGCTCTGGTCACAGTGAAGATCATGAGCTGACTGAAGAAAGAGGAAGTTTTAAAGATGGTTTGGATGTAGGTTCATGTCCATCCATGTCAATCTGTCGAGTCTAAAGATGGTCGGGTCGAACAGGAAATGATTACTATCCATTTATTTTCTTCTGACTTTTATTTTGAAAATCTATCATATAAATTTAATTAAAATCTTCATTGATAATTTTCGTCTCAGATTTATATGAATAAAATGTAAAATATCTGTTGTGATTTGGTGCCATAAATAAAACTGAATTGAATCGAAGTTAGAAGTGGATAAAAAAATAAATAGATAAATAAAAATATATAAATAACAAAATAAAACAAAATTCATAGATATTAAATAAATAAAATCAAGGCTTAATGATTTAAATTGTGTGAATAATTAATCAAACTGAATAATAAATAATACATTAGACCAGTTTCCCTTCAGAATAATAGCAGACCACCTCAGGACAGTCTGTTGAATTTCAAAATTAAAGCCTCCATAACATAATGACAATATATACCAATATTTTTGCCACTGCAAACTTTCCCACTTCTGCTCTTGTACCTGATTTACACAGGCATCTTTGTAATGGCATCTACTTTTGGTTTTTGAATGTTAATAGTAACTGTCGTTACTGATTGTATGACATGACTGTCGGTCACCAGTAGATGGTGCATTTGCATTTTCTTTTGCTTCCTCATGGTCAGACTGAAGGTTCATATTACTTCATAGTGAAGTTGAAAACAGTTTCAGAGGTAAATGACTTTGTATTCCTCAGTCACTCCAACTGAAGAAATGTTCCTTTATTTATTTATTCCTTTATTTGGCTCTTTGAAAATGTCATTCTCCTTTTTTTTTATTTCCTATGACGGGAAAACATATTTTTTAGGTAGTTTAATGGTTAAAATCATACACATCGGTTAAACTTTAAACAGTGTGTATGATAGAAACAAAGTTTCTTACATGTCCTTGTTAGTATTGTTGTTGTCGTTATTTCCCGCCACCTAACAAACTGAGTGTGGATCAGAATGATTACATGTTGTATTGTTACCAGTTATCACACGTGTTGATGAACGTTGAGACGAGTGTTGCTCATATCTCATCCTGTAGATGACGTCTTCTTCTCTTGAGTTTCACAGGTCCATTCCTCCTGTCGCTTCTTTTCCATTTCTGATCTGATTTTACTTTAAACTTCAGCTTCACTATAATTTACTGTCATATTATTTCTGACTATTTAGTTGCATCTTTTTCTGTCGGGTTGTTTCCCTCCACCCCATATGTTCTTGAAACCAGATGAATTTCATAATGATTCCTGAAGATACTCTGAGATATTTCCTGCTCTGCTTCTAATTCTTCTAGTTCCACTAGAACCTGAACATTATTAAAACCAGTTTAGAGTTAAAACAGTTCCTCTGTAAATATTAGCAGGTTGTTACTGACTCTTTTGTTTGACATTACATTTACATCTGGAACGATAACCGCAGCCTCGACTCTGTTCCCTCTATTACTGCAGCTTCTGACGCATCACGGTGTGTTTTAATAAGCAGAATAATGTTCTTCGTTGCGTCTTGGTTCTTTGGGGTTTAAATCAGTGGAGCTGTGATGATTAATCAGTCGGTCGACAGAAAATAAATCTGAAACTATTTTGATAATTAATCAGTTTCAAACAAAAATGAAAGTGATTTGGTGCTTCAGTCAACTTTACTCTACTACAATTTTTCACAATTTTCCAACGGTTCATAGATGAAACGATTCGTTGATTACTCTGTAGATTAATCAATAATGATTCGTTACAGCTAACTGATGTAATGTCTGTTTGTTTGTTTTACCTGTCAGGATGCTGGGGAGTCACCTGCGGCTGCACGGGAAGCGGCGGATCCACCCCTGCAACATCTGCGGGAAGGAGTTCAACCACAGCTCCAGCCTGTCGCGCCACCGCCTCATCCACAAGAAAGGAAAAGGAATCCCCAAGGACGTCGCCCTCGGCCCCAACGTGGCCGCTCTGCGCCACTCGCTGAAGGCGAGCGGCAAGAACAAGAAGACCAAGAGGCAGCAGCAGAGGCAGCAGCAGCAGCAGCAGCAGCAGCAGCAGCAGCATATGGCGGCCGCCATCATTCAGAGTCAGGGCGGCGATAAGTTCTACGCCTGTCCGCAGTGCGACATGAGCTTCAGGACGTCCACACAGCTGTCTAAACACCAGGTGACCCATGTCAAGGAGCTGCTGGACAACTACACGCCTGGCAAGGAGAACCTGGGCGAGACCTCGTCCGACCTCAAGATCCGCCTCAAGCTCTGCTCCCGCGACAAGCCCAACTTCTACACCCTCTGTAAGAAGAACCGTCGCCGCCGGGGGGGCCGGGCCGGTAAACGAGGCCCTGCCACCTCTGAGGAGGAGGAGGGGGGAGGAGGAGACGGAGGAGTGGGAGGAGTAGGTGGAGTAGGAGCCGGTCGCCACGGCTGCAGCCAGTGTGGGAAGCGGTTTAGCCACGCCTCCAGCCTGGCGCGGCACCAGCAGACCCATAGGGTGGGGGACGGTGGCGGGCGGGGAAAGGTGCAGCAGCACCAGAAGCAGCTTCTCGCCAAGACCGGACTCCCCGCCGCCAAGACCAAGACCTACACCTGTGCGGCCTGCAACAAGACCTTCATGCACTCATCCAGCTTCTCTCGCCACAAGAAGGCGCACATGGAGGAGGAGCAGCGGGCTCGCGCCGCTGCCGCCAAACGCCGGAAGAGACCTATCTTAGACGAGACCGCCCCGCTGGAGTCCGACTCCGAGTGACGTCGCCCGGCTCTGGACAGGGTTTGGACCGGTTCTGGACCTGTTCTGGGTTGGTTCTGAATCAGCATTGACTGGTTCTGGACTGGTTTGGGACCAGTTCTGGAAAAGTTCTAATTTGGAAAAGTTCTGGACCAGCTCTCCACCAGTTCTGGACCAGTTGGGGACAGATTCTGGGCCGCTCGTGGTCGTCCAGGTTTTGGGAACTGGAACACGTTGATTCTTCTCTGGTGTAGATAGCAGCAGGACATCCATATATGGTCGTATGGCATGTCATAACTGACCGTTAGCTAATTGCTCTTCAGGATGGGATTAGATTTAAAGTGTAACCCCACCCGCCCCGCCCCCAGCCCCGCCCCCTCACTCCACCTGTCTGTTAGGAACCGCTGGTCACTTTCGTTTTGCCCTGTCCACACCCCATTTCCCATCAGCCACCTGAGGAGAGCTGCTGGGAATCACAGTCAGCTGCTTGTCCATCTGTTTCAGGCCACGCCCACCTGCCACCACATTTCCCATCAGCCCCAGGACCTCTGTTCATCATGCAGAGTATTACGGGAAACTGAGTTTCTACAGAAAAGATTTACAACAACAGTGAAACCTGTAGATTCAGTTTGTGTTTGATGTTTCTGATTAATAATCAAAGAGCTGAGATCAGACGACATCAGGCCAGTTTGGTTTGATGGAAGTTTATTAACGACAAAGTATTTTTATTATTTGAGAGAAATCCAGAGTTCTGTGTTTCTGTGTTTATGGTTTTCTCAAAGTTTAGTGATTCATCAGTGCGGACCGTGAAAAAAGACTTTCAAACATTTTTTTTTTGGTTCTCAGAATTTGGATTTGTTTTTTTTGTGTTTTTTTTTTTTTTTTTTTATTGTTATTTATTTATTTATTTTTGTCCCCTTTGCCCTCGATCTCTTACGAAGAGTTTAGAGTCAGAATCTGAAGATTTTCTAGAATTTAATTCTTAATTGATCATTTTTCTGTTGATCAACTTTTTGTTTCGGCGCAAAATAATTTTCCAACCGAACCAGAATTTTTTTTTTCTCCATGTTTCTGAAGAGTAACAACAATCAGCTGATTTTTGTCGTTGATAAACCTCCGTACAGGTCTGATCTTGTTCCCGTCAGAGCAGCGGCTCCTTTACTCGTCTCCATGTTTGTTTTCTTTCTCCTCTTTTTTTTTTTTTTTTTTTTTTTTTTTTCCCTCTAGGACGTCACCGCCCAGTTCCTCCCTGAGTGATTTTGATTGGCTGAAGTTCTTATTGGCACAACGTTCTGATTGGTTAACTGTGTTATAGCTTTGGTATTTGACATTTTATAAAAGGTTAAAATGTGAAATCCGAGCAGACGAGCCGATCGGTCGGAGCTGGCGTTCCTCCACATTAATGTATGCATGAAGACTATTACTTGCAGCTAGTCGGCCATATTCGTAGTTTTTCAGCTGGGTGTGTTTGATGACCGATCCGCAGCGTCTGATGTTTGGGTTTCTCGTTTTAGCAGCAGAGTGGTGGTGTTGGTGGAGGTCGACGGGGAAACTGCACTACTTATTTATGAATTTGGAACAATGTTGTAATATATAAATATAAATGGTATTTAAATGTGATTCACAAGTTTAAAAAAAAAAAAACAAAAAAAAAAAATCAAGAGAGTGTCTAGGCCTGGCCTAGCTGCCCTCATTACCGTAGCAACATCACCGTCACCTTCATTGTTTAGCATCGTCATCATCATCATCATCATCATCAGCAGCAGACAGGAAAAGCCTCAGCAGACGTCTCGTTTTTCAAAGTTAAAGCTTTCAAATCAGTTCATTAACAAAATACTGTAACAGATGTTTGTCTGAGGCAACATCTGGACTTCAGCAAAACAAGAGCTCAAACGAGAGTTCAGTTAAACCCAGTCTGACAAAAAGCAGCCGTTTCCATAAAGAACGTGTGAGATTTTATTTGGACTCGAACAGAGACGACAATCTGAGACGACATTCAGACAAAAACGATTTCAAACATCGACTTAATCATAGATTTTCTGAGCAAACACTGGTTTCATTAATTACATTTAGTTTTCAGGAAGTACAGATGGGATTTGGGAAAATCTGGAATCAAACGTTGACGTCTGTCTGAGACGACCTCTGGACTCAAGCAGTCAAATAACACAAAAATTAAAATGTTGCTTTTATTAGTTGATTGAAGAGAAGAAGGTACGGGTGTAAACGAGGTGGACGTCACATCTGAGACGACGTCTGGACAAAATGTTTCAAAAGCTCATTTATTAATGACAAAGTCAAGTTTAGTGAATTCTGTGAACCAGCTGTTAATGTGAGATTTGGTGACAGGTGTTTGCACGTCTGTCTGAGACAACATCTGGACCAAAAATGACCAAACAAATTGCTTGAGTTAAAAAGTCAAAAGTGAAATTGTGACTGAAACAGGGGAAACACTTCGACGTCTGAATCTGACGTTTGGACAAAAACATTGGAACAAAACGGGAATTTGTTTTGTTTTATTGGTTCATTGAAAAGACAAAGGTACAAGTATTAACAAAGGAGTTTCCACAAAGTTAATGTTTTTGGTGATTTGATGACAGATGTGGACTCAAGCGGACGTGACAGAACATCTGTCAAGGCTGGTGTCAGCTTTAAACTGTTGGAGGTTCTTTACAGATTCGGACGTCTCGGACCAAAACATGAAGGAACATCGAGTCAGAGTCTCAGAGTTTTTCCTCCCTGACAGACGGACCAGCTTTCACCAAAATAAAAGCATCATCTTTGGACGTCAGCGGACCCTGAACCCCCCCCCCCCCCAACTTTTTGCTTCCTGCGTGTGGAGCCGTCTGACGGCGGCAGACACTGAGTTTGTGAATAACGATTCCCTGTGTGAATTGGATTGGACTTAATTTAACGGTGACCTATTTATAAATGTGTGTAGGCGGCAGGTTGTCGGAGTCGCACTACAACTTCCCATAGAAACGAAAAAGAAGCACTCGGTGCCCCACGCTCCACCCCCTCCCTCCCACGCCACGCTCCGGGTTCTCTCTCCTCGTTTCGGGCCTTGAAGCTGCCGTTCTCCTCCTGTCCACAGCAGAGTTTTGCATTTAGATCCATGTTGTGTTGCTTGTTTTCGTTTGGTTGGTGGTTTCTCAGCTTCACCTGCAGATAGAAGGTTGTTCGTCATTGTATCGTGTTTGAATAGAATAAACCCAGTTGACATGTTTTGTCTTGCGTTTTGTAATAAACCTTTAAAAGTAGTTTCCTCTGTGTGTCTTCACTCCGTAAACCGGGTTCAGATCCAGACCTCCACCCGCAGAGTCCTTGGATCAAGTCTGCGAGTCCGCTGGACCAGGAGGGGCTGAAGTGAGACGTAAGGTGTTTCATGGACTCGACTCGACAAGGTTCTTTTTTTCCTCTGCAGCTAGGACCCCTTCAATGCAGCGTTGTTACTACAGCGACAGTGCACAAAGTTGTGACATCATCTTGAACGTGACACATGCGACATGAAACGCAACAGAGAAACGTCCTTAGTTTAATCAACATTCGGATGTTGATTTTGAATTTTTAAATAGGATTCAATGTAATTTGATTTTCAGCACTCCTGTTTAAAAATTACAATTTCCCATTATATCTGCACCTTGCAACCTAAGTTTCCATAGTTTACACTTCTCTTGTGTTTTATTTGAAGTGTTGATCCATAAGATCAGAAGAGGGTGAGAGAGGGGGCGGTGACTGCTTTGTTGTGACATCACAAAGTTCCAGAAGTCCTGACGGCTGGTTTTAAGGCTCAGTTTCTGAATACAGGCTGTGTGCATTTCTCTGTGGACTGAGGCTTTGATACTTTCACAGTATTAATATAGAAGCTAGACCTGATCTATAATCACACTACACATGGACAGAGACCTTTACACTGGAGGAGCTTTAAAACTGAGCTATGTAGCAAGCAAGTGGCTCCCCTGAGAGACCTGAAGCGAACCAGGATGAGCGATGAGCCAAACCTCCCAGTTTTGTTAACAATACCTTAGCTATGAGTGATAACATATTCCCACCTGCCACCTGCCAGCTGAGGATGTCAGAGTGTGTTGAAAGTGACTGGATGCACATTGTCTAACCCTGTTCTATGAGCTTAGATTTACTGTCCCTCCTGCATTGTTGGGTTTCTACAGTTTTCCTGGCCTAGTATTTAGAAACGCACATGATATGACACATTGAGAATGAGGTTAAATAGTTACAATCAATACGGAATACAATGAAAACATCAGAATACATAGAGAATTTCTTTGCATTTTTCTCCTACACAAGATCTGGATAAACACAGTGGCCACAAGGTGTCGCCAAAAAACATGAAAATATCTTTGGATTTCACTGTCACTCTTCACGCCATAGTTCAGACATCAGATGTTGTCTTCAGGGTTAAACAGCAGTTTAATCGCTCCTGTTTCAGGAAGTAAGTGAGTGGTAAAGTAGGTCTGTGTGTGTCTGATCAGTGATCTGATAAAAGCCTTGCTGATCTCAGGCCTGATTTGGATCCTGTTGTCAGGAAACTTTCACCTGATTTAGAGCAACAGCCTCAGTTCTGGTTAAGGTTCATCTTCCTCTCCTTCATCTTCATCTTCCTCTTAATCAGTGGTGGACACAGTATTTAAAAGTTTGTGATAATTTACTTCACTATTTCCCTTTTATGGTGCTTTGTAATATTGTTCTCTTTACTCGACCACATTCACTTGATGAATAACCTGAGTTACTTTTCAGATTCTTTGTTATATTATATATTATATTATATATTCGTTATATATTTGTTAAATCAACCAGCTCTGGATTCTCATCATCTCAAAACAATGATGCTCACATGTTAATTAATCAGTAATAACAACACAACAATATCATATGTCATGGTATAACCTCTTACTTGCATGTTACGGCTCATCACTCAGGTGTCTGGGTAATTAACCAGGTAGGTGGAGCTTTGCTGCAAAAACCAAACTCTCTGAAGCAGTAACATTAATGATGGTGTGAATAGT